ACTATTTTTTTACATTGTTTTTTCATTTTCTTACATTTTTTTCAAACATGCAATGGACAATATTGAACGCCCCCCGTGCGTTTTTTTAAAAAATAAATGAAATCCCGTAAAGAATGAGGGGACCTATATACTAAAATGAAATCTTGCAAATGAGACACAGTTAAAAAATAAATGCTTGCCAACATTTAACAGGACCACCTCCCTCAAAAACGTCTAAATTGTGTCTTGCAATTTGGGTACGCCCCCCCCCTCCTTAAAAGGGTAGTGATTATATTATATATATTTATATATTATATATATATATCAAAGATTTCAATTTCACATTGTGATATAATGCAATATTACAGAGTTTTTTTCCCCCACTGTATTCATATATTACACAGTAGCCAATTTCATGTTTACGCCTCAATTTGGTGGGACATTTTTTCTTTCAGGAGCCAGTGAGATCTCTGCAAAAAGGTGAAGTGGTACTGCATGATGTCAAGGTGCCAATGTGGCGATATGAGAAAGTCAAGCTTTTTACCACTAAAGCATCATCCATGAATGGGAAATTTATGGAGTTTGAACCGATGAAAAATGGAGTTTGATGAGGTTTTTCATGGGATTTAGCTGACCGATAATGGGATATAACCGTTAAAGCATTTAATCCCAGAATCCCATATGAAAAACACACCCAGAAGCCATGGTGTATAACTAGTAAGATATTTTTTGTTTTTGGGACCGTAGACTGGTGCTTAACATTAGGGGAATGAGGATCTACTGTTTATAGATGCGGTAATCAACAGGTGGTTAACAGTGTGTAATCGGCAGCAGGACATTTAATCATTTAGTACTGTCTGGAATGATTCTTCGTCCCAATACGTCAGGTATGAAAATCAGTCCCCATCCAATTAATCTTATATGGATTATTTAGATAAATTATCCCCATATGTCATATATCCATTTATATCCCTTATATCCGCATCTAATTGAATAATATTAATCATTCTTGATCCCATCTGCAAGATTGTTCTATATGATAGTATTTGATTAAGCGTAATTAGAAATAGACCAAACTTGTCAAGAATCAGTGATTCATGTTCAGCTTGAATTGTTTGGAAATTGGGTATAGTTGATATATGTGCGATGGTTAAAAGTTGTTGTATTTTCCCATGAAAGGGGATGGTCGGCGCCCCGTTGATAGGGGTGATTATATACCCATTATATGTACGAAATCTCTCATGATGGTGGGACCATATATATATATATATAATCCATAGACCATGTATTGACCATGGCACATACTGTGGATGGTTGCGAAATCCTGCACCAGTTGGTAGATGTTTTTTCCCATTCTAATCCCACTATCTACGGTGTTTCATACTTACCAACAGTTACAAACCGATGCAGGATTTTGTCGATCCACCGTATGTTCTTTCAAAACATCTTGCTTTTCCAAAGAAGTCCCTTAACCTCATCGCTCAGCCCTCTCAGCCGCAGGCGGCATTTTGGCCCAATGGGACTCGCTGGAACGTCCCGATCGATCCACAGGTGGACGTTACCAGTACCGCAGGGGGCTAGATCCATCTATCGTTTTGTTTCCTTGGCTGATGGTATCGGAATAAACAGACAATGCTAAGCAGACATCTAAAAGCTCGAATGAGATGAGCAGGAACGTGGCTACTCATTTTTTCATGATTCCCCAGTGTGTCTCCACACGCAGGGGTTCTTACGGTAGGGCCGGTAGGGGTTAAAGCCGGTGCTTGATCAGGGTGCTCCATCTGGCTGGCATTTTTTGTTTTTGGATCTCCCAAGAAATCGCTATGACCTCGGCAATGCTCCGCAGGCGGCCTATGTGGTCCCCGGGGGAGTGGCTCCTGTGATGCTCTTTGAAGATGTGACCAGTGTGTCAGTCACCTTGACCCCCAAGGATTATCCAGGTGGGGACAGGGTGTTTCATGAGGTTTTTTTCCATGTTTTTTCCAGGCAAAATCTGAAAAGTGATGTGGGAAAGATGAACGAAGATGATGTGACATGGATATTTTCCAGGCTTGGGGTCAGAGTGGATTTTTCATATGGTAAAAGATCATATTTTTTAAAAACCATTAATATTGTCCAGGGCTATATTTTGGTATACTGTAGTTGCCTATAGATGAACAACAAAAACGAAAACGGAACTTTGGAGGTCACAACAGCAGACAGAAGTGAAGATTACTGGAAGAAGTTGGTAGTAAATAGTAAATAGTATATAAATACTGATACTACAATGATACAACTGGATACCCTCTGGTCATTTAACAGTTTGCGAACTGGAAAATGGCCCATAGAAATAGGTTATTTACTTATTAAAGATTGTGATTTCCCATAGCTTTTTGCAAACGTTTACCAGAGGCTAGTGGGTTGGAAAAACTCTGTCAACTTTTCCTCCACTTTTCGGTGCTGATTTTTTGAGTTGACTGAGATGGTTTTCTCATAGGCACCCGTGTTGGTTTGCATTGGCATTTTGATGCATTTTGTGTGGCTCTCATGGCCTTGCACCCCCCCTCCAATGATAGGAACACCCATAAGGCACTCCGAAATGAGGAGCCAATTCTTGGGCGTTGGATCTGTTTTCGGATGTGTTCGTCCAAGAATTGGGTGCTCAAAATTGTCAAATTGAGAACCTGATTTTCTGACACCACATTCACAAAGCGCACCTGGCCTGAATTTCCAGGCAACTCAGTGGGTGGCTTCTGGGCTGGTCGCACCTTCTTCATCACTTTACACTCACCTGATCTGGCGGGGGAGCCATGGTAGATGGGAAGCGCCAAACGTGGCGATTCCGGAAGTCTTGATCAGTTCCTTTATAAAACTGATAAAATTGTGTTATTTTTGTCCAAGTGTTTTAAACTGCACAGTTCTCGCAGTTTAAAAGAACGTAGAATCAGGTGATTCATATGCTTGATGAAATACTGAGAGAAAGGGATCTGATATGTATATATATATAATATTTACATATTATATATAATATTTACATGTATATATTGATATAATATAATATAATATAATCTAATATAATACAATATAATATAATATAACATAATATAGTAGAATACAATATAATATAATATAATATAAGATACTATAATGTAATATATACATACAGAATATAATACATAATAAATACTATATAATATATAATATAATATCTATAGTATATAATAGATAATATACGATATGTACAATATAATATATAATATACGATGTATATAGAACATCTTATATTATACATAATAATATTAGATAATATTATAAAATATATATATTATATAATATGTTATGATATATATATATATATATTATAATATAATATATTATAATATATATATAATATAATTGTATGTATACTTATATTATTACTTTATATTACTTTTATACATGCACATTTTGCGTATGCAGATCATTATTTTCCAGTTCTTCTATCATATCTTTCTGCTGGTCTTTTGGTCGAATCTCAATTGTTGCGAAGGGCAAACCGAAAGCCGTGGTTTGGTGGAAACTGAAATGGAGGTTTTCTAAGTCATAGGGATAGCCCCAAATCATCTAAGTCATTAGATCACGACTTAGTATTGAAAGCCTGGTGACTTGGGGTAGCCCTAGTTTTCCGGAAACCACCAAATACGCATGGTTTGGTGGTGAAGATTCCAAGTTTTGCTCCGATTTCGTATCGACGAATTGGGCCCCTTTTACGCCCAAGGTGCACCCGGAGACTGCAGGTGCAGGAGGGGAGAGGAGGTTGAACATATCCATCAAGCAACATTTGTGTATGTACATATGTGTATGTATATATACATATAATTAGATATGTTGATATGTATGTATATATGTATGTATATATATATATACATATGTAAATATATGTAAATATATGTAGATATATGTAAATATATGTGAATATATGTGAATATATGTGAATTTATGTGAATATATGTGAATAATGTAATATATAGACGCATACAATTTATGATGTACATATATGGACCTATATGTGTATATAATACTATAGGTACACAATGTGCGAACATTCCTATCTACACACAGACATGAGGGCCAGAGACATTGAAACCAGGGCTACTCGAGCGAGGAGTTGGGGTGTTTCAGTTCAAGGTTTCCAGAGGAAGAGCCCGGCTGGTTATGTTTGTTGGCTCATCATTTACAGCAGCTATCCATCTCAATCCTAGCAGAGTTATGATTCAACTTGCCAGTCTAGGGCCCCCCTTCCGGCAGGTTTCAGAATAAGGCGAGTTTCCCAGAATTGGTTTAACAGAAAACCTGCAGGAAACTCAGATATTTGGTGGCCATGGTTTCCTGTAGATTTTCCACCAAACCAATCTATTGACCGGTTGTAGGTTTCCAGGTATATTATTAAGTAATCCTATTTGTTAATTAGCCATTATATATTGATATACCAGGAGTTATAGTTTAATACTGTGGATGGAAGAAATCCTGGACCGGAATCCTGCACCAGTTGAAATCCTGGACCGGAATCCTGCACCAGTTGGTGATGATCCCATTATTCCACTATCTACAGGGTTTCATACTTACCAACAGTTACAAACCCATTATTCCACTATACTTACCATTGTTCTGTGGGATAGTGGAATAATGGTATAATTATGGTGTTTCAGACAAACCGGTGCAGGATTTTGTCGATCCACAGTATTATTGCTCATACAAGGTGGTGCCCCCGTTCGATAGCTAAGTTGATGAACATAACTCTAATAACTGTTTACGGTAGATATATCGAACTAGTTACCCTCTGGTTAAACCTACAAAAATCTATTGAAAATTACCATTTGGTAGTTGTTTTACCTATTAAAAATGGTGATTTTCCATAGTTATGTTAGTTTACCAGAGGGTAGTGGGATTATAAACCAACAAAGATACCTGGAGGGGCACCACATTGTACCTATTGACTCATTGACCTTGGTTTTTTCCAAACGAATGTCCGCTTGAACTTTGCTCGGCTCCAAGCGTAGCGGGGCAACGCCCCGTGGCCCCTGGCACGCGCTTCTCGTTGGGTGAGAAACTCAATGCATCGTTCCCTGGCAGAGGTGGGGGTCAGAGATCTTAAGGAAAAAAAACTCCACATATGATGGGCCAGCGAAATCCTGCAGTTGATGGTAAACATCCCATGATTTTTTGTTGGGGTTTCAACCATCCTTTTGCTGGTGCAGGATTTCGCTGGCCCATCCACAGGACATGGATATGGGTGAACATTTTTCAGACCTGGGGGAAGATGGCTTAATCTATGTTTGGTATTAGCCATCCAATAATTGGGGTACCTATTGCATATGTTTTTGGTCACTTTGAGTGAAGTGAAACGGTGGGTACCTATTTTCAATGCATACTCATGTGACAGTATGGGTTAGATTTCAAGACTTTTCAACCCACAATGTTCGGCTGTTTTTTTGCCTTTACCATCCCATTTTTGTGTACCCAAAATTTACATGTGAGATTATTTTTCTTTGATAGATGTTCCAACTTGAATTCTAGGTGTCCCCGTCCCACCCAAAAAGATAATACAGTAAATCACCATCAAAACAGTACGGTAGGGAGGGACTTTTCTACCTCCTCCAAAACCAAAGCTGCATGTCATGTGAGCAATTGTGAGCAACTTTTTTTTTTGGGGAGATGCAGAGATTTAGTAAGGAGTGCTGTTCCAACTTTTGCCGCGAAAGCATTTCTCCTGTGTTTTGCAGGTGCGCGAAGCTGCGCGAAGCCGCGCAAAGCCAGAAGCGTAAGCATATATATATATATACAGTATATGATTCAGGCAAGATTGTTTCTGTGAAGGCTCTTCGCGTAGGCTATGAGACAGAGAGGTTTTTCCACATGGTTTATTAGATAAACATGTAACCCATTCAAAAAAAAGATCATGCGACCATGAGTTTACCATCTTAGCGACTTAGAATTGGGATCTACTTTCATAGGGGGGTTATACGGTTATATGATATATGTGGTGCATTTTCAATTCATGATTTCTTTGAGTAGTGAGTTTCACAGCCACCTATACATACCATGTTTGGCGCTGCTTAGTGTCGTTCCGAGGTTGTACACTAAGGCTGTTTTTGGACGTGGACGGCCCTGTGGAACGTGTGAGTGAGTAGTGAGTTTCAGATTTCCAATCATTACCTTAGGCACCCTATTCGTGTTTGATATCCATCAGGGTGCCGGAGGTGACAGTATGATTACTTCGTGGAATTGACCATTGTTCTGTAATTCTTGTGTCAATCTGTTTTATGTTGATGAGGACAGTGTGGCGTTGTCACTCTCGGACAGTCCATCCAATTCCAATATCCGGACGGGTCCAAAGTTCCATAGGTGACAAGATGTGACAAGACCATTCGAGAACCAGCAGCGGACGATGAGCAGCCACAGGTTCCAACTTGGCGGCGAGGATTCTGGCCCGGGGAAAGGAGTTGGAAGGGCCGAGGGCCTTTGCCTGGAGATGTGAATGAACTTGTTCGAAGACACGCTGACCCAAAAACGTTCCTCCCACGAGAACTACCAGATTTGCATTCTGAGGAGGCTTTGCTTTCTCCTGCTGCGGCCCGCCTTCAGAAGAAAGCTGACAAGCAACGGCGCCAAACTGCTGCTCTGGCAGATGCAATGTCAAATTCTTTATCTTCCTCATCGTCTTCTTCTGCTTCCTCATCTTCTGACAAGGAATGAAATTAAGATTCCAACGCAAGCCGCAAACACGTGCCTGCAGAAAAAAGACGCGAAGGCAACCGCGAAGGCTAAGCGAAGGCACCCTTCGCAGTAAAACCCATCCTGCGTAGGCGTCGCGAAAGCTTTGGCGAAAGCCTCTTTTAGTGTATAGCAGCCAAGCACCTAAAAAATACAACACTCATGTGGGGTTTGGCGCATGTGTTTGGAGAGAAATATTAGCACATGCCACGAAGGCGTACGCAACTATGTATATATGGTGACCTCCAGGAATAGGTTGGTTTATAATCCCATTAACTACCTGGAAAACTAACATAACTATGGAAAATCACCATTTTTGATAGGTAAAACAACAACTATTTATAGATATATCTACCATAAACAGTCCATAAACCATAGTTAACCTATAGTTTTAAACCAACCTAGCGACCTTGAGGGCACCACCCCCAAAAGTTTCAGATCCCAGACATGACCAGCCCTTGGTCCTGAATGGTACCCCATTTTGGGGGGTCACTGTAAACATACATATAACAGAAATCGAATACATCAGCAGGGCGAATGCAAACCATGGTTACCCCAGCTTTGAAGTCTGGCCCAGCGGATTTTAATAGTGCTTGTCCCTCCTCCTCTTGACAATCGGTAAATGATGTCAAATGGTATACCAAAGGGGCCTGCTACACTTTTTGTCACAAGCACATCATTGAGTGGTGGAAGAAATCAGGTTTGTTGGCCGTTTCACGCAAAGTAGGCTTTGGAATAGGAGGATCATCGATGACTAGCGGGTTGAGGCGGGTTGACGCGTCAAAGGTTTCTGACTCTCGATTTCCAACAAATGGGATTACAATCCCCGTTGACATATATATACTATACGTTTTTCAAGTAAGTGACTCCACCACAAGCCTACACAAATCTCTAAATTTCTTTTCTTTAAATCATGTTAAATCCACCATTTTTTTTGTTACAAAAAATGGAGTCCCGGTTTTCGCAAAGGTTCATATTGATGCCCAGATGGCTTTGGCCTTTGCTCTGCTTCGGTTCCTTGGTTTACGCAGTGCAGTCGCTTCGAAGGTAGCGTACAGGATACATCGTAGAAGCAATTTGTGTGGGACACATATTCATGTGGGTGTGTCTGAAAATGGGGTATATACCTCCCTTAAATGTCCATTATAAATCATTTTTTGATGTATAGAGAATGATGATTCACCAATGGATTTAGGGATACCTTATGTTCAGAGAAATCCATGATAGGCATATTTCTGCTTACTCCATTTAGATTCGCCTCCAGTAAACGACGGTAACTACGCTATATGGAAGCCACGGACCAAGCTATGTTCGATGATTCACCTCTTCAACTTTTTGGTGATTTTCCATGAGCGAAATTGCAACAGTTTACCAGAGGGTTATCATCCCCATTTTTGGATAGTTAAATTCCATTTATGTGGTTAAAATAACAAACCAACCCATTTTTGATGGTTTATACCACCCATAAAGATGGTGATTTTGGGGATGGCATTGTTGTAAATTCCATGAAATCCCACGAAAATCCCTACAGTTGAATGGCCTAGCCCCAGATTTCCTTCAGGCTGTGTGACTGCTGAGCGACCGGCCAGAAGCTACAGCGCGGCCTTAGAAACGGATGGAGAAGGCCCCAGGGCCCCAGATTCGGGCAGATATGGAGGTTTCCATGGGGCCCTGACAGGCCCCAATTGCTGGATGGTTTATTTCATGGATGACATTTGCATACTCATGCATAAAAAGGTATATTGTGAATCACCTATTGTGTATCCCGTGCATAACATTGGCCCCAATTGTGTATCACCTATTGGTTTTGGCATTTCTTTTGGGATTTCTTTTTGGGATTTCTTTTGATCTGCCCAACTGATGAACATCTGATGACAAAACTAGAGAGTTTACAGACTTGAAGAATCTGCAGATGGTTTTCATTGATGAACATCTCTAGATGAATGTGGTACCCTTTGGTAAACGTTTACATAACGACCTGGAAAGATCCACCATAAAAAAGAGCTGGCGAAAAAAATCCGCTATGTCTATGGTCATTTTAGGTCATTTTAATTCCTTTTAGGTCATTTTCCAGTTCGCAAACTGGCACAAATTTTCCCAGAGAGTAATCCCGTTTTAATCCCATATCATTCCATTATTCACCATTGTTAGTTCACCCATTAATAACCATGATATAAATCACCATTTTTTGTCGCATCCTTGGTGGATCACATAGCATCCTTGGTGGAATTCGCTGGATCACCGCGCTTTTTGTTGGTCCATTGGTCCATTGGTCCATCCCAAAAAAATCGCCCGCAGCGGGACGGGCTGCATGAGTTTTCTGGTCCGGTGAAAATCTGCATTTTATGATGTGTAGAAAATATGCAAAAGTGTGATACATTAGAACATCATATGGAATCATATGTGTGTATATATATATGATATATGATATATGATGTATGTATATGTGTATATGTGTATGAATTGATAATGTGTGAATATGTGTGATGCATATGACGTATTTGTTTAAGCAATGCATATATGGAGTGATCGTATTATGTAATAATGTTTTACATTCATACAAATTCGAGCATAATATCCTGAACATGCTTGTAGTTTTAGTGTATCATATATGCCTATCTTATCATATATATATATATCTATATATATATATGTTGCAATATATGAATATATCATGCTATATATTGTTGACGTTGGATTCTTTTAGATAGATATGGTATATCATATCATATACGGTTTTCGGATTTCTTATGGTCCTGTCTGAAATTGGGGGATACCCAGAACGGCAAGTAAAAAATAGTGCACATACGTGCACATGATGAATACTCAGATTTGGAGGTATGTACCATCTGGTACCCTCTGGTAATTTAACATAGCTATTGAAAATGATCATTTATAGTTGATTTACCCGCTAAAAATGGTGGCTTTCCATAGCTATGTTGGTTTAACAGAGGGTAATTTCACATAGCTATTGAACATGGCAAATTCACCCACTAAAGATTGTAATTTTCCATAGCTATGTTAGTTTACCAAACTCATCTTTGGTCCTGGTCCTCGGCAAATCAGAAGATTTGACAACGACCCACCAGGAAGAATAGACGTGTTTTGATCAGGATATGTGGAATCACCTTAAGATCACCACTATTTTGGCGAATGATATGGCCATGGATCAATACCCATAAAGACCAGCTATTTTAGAGGAATGAACATCCATAAATCCCAGCTATTTTGATGTGAACTACAGGGGTACAAGGTTTTCATTCATCCCCATATACATATATATCATATAAATGCATATATAACCATAGATAATCTATATATCAATGAGCATATTCTATAATCTTATATCGTAAACATACATCATAGAGTAGGAGGAAATCTATCATCTATGGATTATCATTATAGTATAGCCATTATAGTATAGCCATTATAGTATAGCCATTATATTCATGCATCATACGTGAAACAATATATATATGTATACACATCATTATTAAAACTGCCCGTTGATGGGTTCATCAATATATATATGTATAATATTATTATTATTACTATTTGTTTTTTTATATATTCATTCATTCATTCATTCATGCATTCATTCATCCATTTATTTATTTAATTTTGTTTATTCTCATCCCACATTTTGTTTCCCATCACCTCCCTTTCGCGGTCGCTGAGGTCCCCCCTTTGGCTCGCCGGACGATGCCGTGGCGGCAGATTCCCCGGAGGACCTGGCGGCAGAGGTCCCGGAGTTGCCGGGAGAAACGCTGAATGCTTCGGCATGTCCACAGGCCGGGGATTTTTAGTAGAAAGTAACTGGAAAACCTGGAAAAATCTGGAAAATAACTGGAAAACCCTGGAAAAATCTGGAAAAATATAGGAACATCTGGAAAAATCTGTGGACAAATCTGAGGGATAGTAGATGATAGTAGGCCATAGTAGCCACTGGTAAGCAGCAGCATTGTCCCAAAAGAAAGAACATCCAGCATTCAAAATGGGGATGATGCCCATTTTCAGATACATTCTTGAACAGAAAGCAGTGAACAACTGTGGACTTACTGTGTAAACATACGGAAAGATGTGGAAAAATCCATGGTTTCTTCGTGTTCGGAAATTATCTACTGCAAATGGTGGGTTTTCCACATTTGTGCGAACGTTTACCGGAGGCCAGCAAAACTTGGGTTTTTATGGGCAAGACTTGGGATGTAACCAGCAACAAATCGAGGCGTACTGTATCTTGCAAAAATGGAGATTTAAGTAAGCAGCAAAGAATTGGAGTCAACTAGCAACAGCTTAGGATTTAATTCTACTAAGAAGGAAAAAAGGAATCTAACCATTGACTCGAGAAAAAATGGATGGAAATGGGATTCATGCATGATTTGGCTATGAAAAATCTGTAGGGAACCCATAGGAAAGGATCTGTAAATGATGGTTTTTCCAACAAAATGATTGATCTTCCCAGCAAACAGAAAGGGGTTTAAGTAAATTATTTGGATTTAAGCATCCAAAATAGGGGTTTCAGCATTGATTTTGGGTATATCGTAAAATGGGGACCTTCAAATGTGTTGATTGGTAAAATGGGCACAACAAGTCACCTGCCATTTTTTTTTGTTCTCCAATAAAGTACCATGGACATGGATAACCCAAAGGGGGAGATCCAGCTGCTGCAAATGGTGGATTACTCATATCGATCTCGGTTTCCCGGAATGAATATGATTTATATAAACTGTTTTTGGATGTTTCCAGGGATAGTTCCAGCAACAAGACATTGGGTTTCGACTGCATGGCGGATTTAGATGGATTAATCGCACATTTAGCACCAATGTATGGGGACATCAAAAACGTGTTTTTTTCTCCTCCTCGCAAAAAAATGGGGATACCCCATTCCCTGGCAATTTTTTAAGGTCGAACATTTCATGATCAATCAATCAATCATTGCATCTTGGGGTTAGAATTGCCTTTACCAGCTATTCTTCTCTAGATATTGGATGAAACGTGGTATACCAGAAATTATTCTTCAATCTGAGGGTCCCGATTTTTCGCATGACCGGTTGTGGAGCCAGTGGTGTGCTTCAGGCCCCTGTGCTCCGATCGCTTTTGAAGCAGATGGGGATGGCTGAAGATGAGCTGAAGACCATCTTCGAAGATCCAGATGATCCTCGCAAGAGGACTGTGATCACCTGGATTCTCGCCAACTCAAAAGATGCACTTCTGTTTCTTTTGTGGACACCGAAAAGGACAAGGGGATTGGAACATGGATGTATCCACCATGGATGATTTTAAGAGGGAAAAAGACGGGGTCTTTGATCATCCACATTGGGGGGAACACCTGGCTGTCACCTGGCTGTCACTAGGCAACATGATTCAATGGCCATGCTGGCCAGGAACCTAAATATAGGACGGAGGTACCGATTTTTTATATATTTTTGGCCTATTCTTTAGGCCTAAATTTCAGGGAATATCCCAAGAAATTCCCATTGAATGATGGTGACATCAATAATTGATGGGTGAATCATTTGTCTGGGCTGTTCAAAGGCAATCCTAATCCCCCGGGGGATTGCGGATTAGCCGGTTTACGGATTGCAGGTGGTATCCCAGCGCCTGTTGCGATTCGCCTGGTTACCTTATGCGGTGGCTTTAGCATAGATCACTTTCCTTAAATTGGCAAAGCCGCAAGGCTTCTGAATGAGATTCTTGTTTGGCCTTATTCTGCGGCTCCTTCCGGGAGGTTTGGGGAGAAGGAAATATAAGCCCAAACGGGCACTTTGGCTTCAAAGTGCTTGTTTAGTGCCCGTTTGGGCTTGTATTTCCTTCTCCCCAAACCTCCCGGAAGGAGCCGCAGAATAAGGCCAAACAAGCACTTTGAAGCCAAAGTGCCCGTTTGGGCTTATATTTCCTTCTCCCCAAACCTCCAAGGAGCCGCAGAATAAGCCATACGGAGGAAAAATCATTTCAAAGGAAAAATAAGCCCAAAACAGCATGTTCGATCCCAAAGTGCCTTTTTGGGCTTATTTTTTGCTTTGGGTAATTCTTTTTGTCCCCACGTGTGAATCATAATAAAAGCGCCAAAGACTTTGAGCTCAATAACCTGGCGCGTAACATTCCGCCAGTTTTACGGGATTGCGGATTGAACGGATTACCGTGGCAAACGCGGATTGGACGGATTAGGGATTGGGATAAGGCCGACTGCAACTTTGAACACCACAGTTTGTACCACGTATCTCCCAGGGCACGGGACTTGGATGTTTTTTTCCCTAGGAAAAGGGCTGGTAACTGGGTTACTAGAATCATAGCCTGTGGTAATTGATGGAGGTAATAGGATTCAATGGAAATGAATGGGATTTAATGGACATTAATTGGGATTTAAAGGAATTTAGCCAAAAAAACATGGATATGATCATATTACCCAGCTGGAAATTTGGGAAAGTTTGCTATGGAAATCGCTATTCTTGACAGGTAAATCACCGAACTAAATGGGCCATGGCTTCCATAGCTATATTGAAGTACCAGAGGGTAACCACGACCTCGCTGCGAAGTCACTGGATAGAAATTGGATTGGGGGATTGGGGCAACTATCCCAACATGGCCGAACTTTCAGGTTGAAACGGCTGGGGTTGGGCAGGTGCTTTTATAGTCGAACTTCCAACTTCGCATGTTTTTTCCCGTAATGACTGAGATTGAAAATAAGTAGCGTTTGATGGAAAAAACATGTCAATTTGATTGACTTTGGGCCAAAGGAAGACGCACTCATCCCAACAATTCGCCAGAAAAATGCCGAAAAATATTGATAAAAAAACCAATAAAAACCCGATTTTTTTCTTGACTTGACGCGCGTTAACAGACCGTATTTGGGTTCTTCAGATCGGGCCTTCAATGGAACCAACAAACCCGTAATGACAGAAATACGTGTCAACCCCAAACGATGGGAAAAACTGGCTTTTGGGTTCCCAGGCAGATACAATATCTCTTTTTCTTTCGGTACATGGAGGAATATACTAACCAAAGAAATCTTTTACAGCATATGATTGCAGTAAACTTGACCATGATTAAAATCCAGCGCAACCTCGCTGTCTCGGAATGTAAAAGAGTAGAATTAGCCTCCGGTGTCATCAAACATGGCTGGAAAATCCCCTAGTTATAGATGTTTTATGATGTTTTTCCCCTATTATTGGGGAGATACTCCAGTTACGAAGCATTAGGCTTTCTGAAGGCATGCTGCTTGAACGTGAGACAAGATATATCCACTATGTAAATTCTTTTAGAATTTCCGGGATGCAGAATCCATGGTTAGCTAGTCACCGTCCATCCTGTGTAAATCAGGCTTTTTGTAGGTTCGATGTTCTTTTTTTTCCCTTAGCCACAGATACTACCGGCTAAAGCGGCTAAAGATTACACTCCGGTAATCGAACCTGGCAATGGAAAAGGGCTCAATGGTGCTGCATATGGATGCGGACTTGGCTATAGGTTTGTGGATGTCTGTGGAAGAGGATGATGAGAAGCTGTGCAATGGGTGTCACAAGCCGTGTTGGGTTGTTAAGCGTGCTGGTTTTGGAACTTCTCTGGCCGACTCGCCACAGCTTTTATTATACTATGCTGTGGTTGCCTTCGTGAGTTCATGGTATGATTCGTAAACTTTTACCGCACATCTATGTCTGCTACTTGATTTAGATTCTCTTTTCTCTGATGTACTGCCAGCATCCTGCTGTCTAAGAGTTAGAATATTGTTGAGGTGCTAGATTGAGGTGCTAGGATCCCAGAACCTTGAACTGAAGCCCTTTGCAAAGCCGTGGGAAACGTGTGTAACAAAGAAGCAAGACCTTTAAGACTACAAGAAACCTTAAGAAAACCCTGCAAAAACAAAACCTTAAGAACACCCTAAAAGAAACCTTAAAGAAACCCTAAAGAGACCCTCAAACAAACCTTGAAAGACACCCAGAAAGAGAGCCCAAAAGCAACCGTGAAAGAAACCCTAAAGAAACCCTTGAGAAACACTAAAGAAACCTTAAAGAGACCTGAAAGAAACCCTAAAGAGACCCTGAAGAAACCTTAAAGAAACCCTAAAGAAGACCGACAGAAACCTTAAAGAAACCCTAAAGAAACCCAAAAAAGAAACCTTACAGGCAGTCATTTAAGCCCACAGTGATCCCTTTTATGCCCAAAATTATCCCATGTATGCCCAAAGCAAGCTCAAATTTATGCCCAAAGTGAGCCCCTCGCGGAAAATCCCATCGAAAATCCCCCTATAAATGGAGGTTTCACTGGGCATCATCGAACTAAATGGCAGTGGGTCAAAACCTTGTACCCCTGTAGTTCACATCAAAATAGCTGGGATTTATGGATGTTCATCCCACTAAACATGGTATTAATAGGTATTGACCCATATCCAAATGGGACATTTTCAGCAAACCATGGAGCTGATGAGGATCGATTGCAACGTGGAAGCGATCGTCTTAAAACGCCGGGAAGATTTGAGGGGAGTCCTCAGTGATGATTTGCTGAAACTCCAGGACAGGGAAGCGGAAAAACAGATCGGGTAGGGGTGTGCAACCTTATATTATTAACTATATATAGACACTATGAATTCATACAATATGTATATATCTGGCCTTTGTTGACAATGTGGATCAGGGGGGGGTACCATATATATATATGTACATAATTATGGCGGTTTGGCCAGGAAAAATAAGGATTTCATCAACTTGAGTAAGAACATAGAAATATAACCAACCTACATGGTTTTTCTTGATGACTCGGGTTGCCTCATGTTTGGAAGGATGAATAGGTTGTGGTTAATTGTTTCAGTCCTTGTTCATGCTCTATTGCACTGTCACTGCGACCCCTATTTTAGTTTGTAAAGATGTCACAGGCCCAAGTTTCACTGGCCCTCTTCGCTGCCGCTGAGCACTCTGCAAAGTGCAAAATCAACCACCATTTCAAGTGGATCAGTTGAAACATGTGGAAACCAGTAGCCAGTGATAGCCAGTGGATGCTGAAACCATGTGCTTTGCAGAAAAACCACCAGTTGTAGACCAGCAGTCGTAGTGGTCGCTAACAGAAAGGGAGAATCATGACAAGGTCACCGGGATATCACGTCGCCAATGGGAATCAGAAGGATAAGTATTTATATTTATTATTTGTATTTCTATTGGTATTGAATTAGTGTTGGTAATACCTAAAGAAATATAAAAGCACTGGCATTACTATATAGTAAATATCAAGGATATGAATGACCCAACATTTCAGGCTAGTGAATTAGTAAATAATTTGTCCATCCGTATATATAAATAATTATAAATAATTATAAATAATTATAAATAATTATAAATAATTATAAATAATTATAAATAATTATAAATAATTATAAATAATTATAAATAACTATAAATAATTATAAATAATTATAAATATATCCCATTAAAGGAATTGAATCCCGTGAAAAATCCTATTACATCTTATTTTCAACTGAACAATTGAAGAAATCATTCTGAACAGTTTCAAACGGCAAGGTTGTGAACTATCATCAATATATTTATAACTACGACATATAATATACATCCTACTGTGATTGATCAAAAGGATATCTCGTTTTGTGCCAGTGTTGCTTGCGATCAGGCTCCCACATTTCTTCTCAAAAACAACGGCAACTATCGACAAACATAGCAACATGTTAGGGTCAAATAATCATGTCTTCCTCACTGTGCAAGTGGTTATTCGGGCTTTTAGCCTCTGGATATATATAATTATATATAGCTTTGTTGGTAGTTCATGTGGGTAAAACAAACAATGCCATGTAAAAACCATCCCCCAGTCACCATTTTTGCAGGTGGCTCACGTAAAAACCATTCCGAATGGCATCTTTCGGTGCTAGGATTTGAAGCTTCTGGACCTGAGCAACACCGGCATTGGAGGGAATGTGGCCACCTTGCGAAAGGCAAGAAAATTGAAGGACCAAAAACGGGAATGATTCGCTTGATCTATGGGGATTTCCATAGTGAACCCTCACGGGAATGATGCTTGATCTATGGCAATTTCCGGCATTTCATGATGTGAACGATCCAATACTGTAGCTGGTTGATTTCAAAATCCATCTGGGAATTATCCCAAGTGGATGATGAGTTCGGGGATCATTTTTTCACCAATGCATTGGGGTTTCGAAATATACCTGGCCTGGTAAACGTTTAAAAAAAGCTATTGAAGCCATGGCCCAGTCGACATAGTGACATAGTCCCAGCTCGAAAATGGTGGATCTTTCCAGGTCGTTATGTAAACGTTTAGCCAGGATGGGTATAATCCATGATGGGAAATCCTATTACCCAGGACATGGGCTGGATGGGCTGGATCACCGACAAGCCCACTTAGCTACGGTCCATCGTTCCGCCACAACTTGAGATACGTCGTATAGACTAAGCGGCTATGCATAGATATGAATATGAATATGAATGAATATGATATGCCTATGAATATGAATATGATATGAATATGAAAATTAATATGAATATAATATAATATAATATGAATATGAAAGTGAATGTGAATACAAACACACATATGAATACAAACACCAATGCACATAATACATACATGCATGCATGCATGCATTTATTGTATACATATACATATGTGTTTCGGCTATATAGTATCTGAGATGCCGTGCTATGGGAATCAGTTGTTTTTTCTTGCAAAAAGGACCAGTAAATGAATCAAAACTTGCTGGAACCACTATCAGTGCCGATGAACTTTTTTTGGGGATGGTCATAATTGTTGATTGTAGCTTGGTCCATAGCCAAATGGTTTAGCTTCTGAATGCAACATAAATTGGATAACCATTTGGTCTTGTCTGAAAACCTGAAATCACTATTTCATCATTACTTTGCCGGTTAAGATTGCAAATAGAGGATCTACAATCCATTTTCAGGTTCACCAGCTATGTGAAACGATCTTGACCGGCCGTATTTTTGAAAAGCTATGTTGGTAGACTTTGGACCTGTATATGGATATTTGATCAATGTTGAAGTAATGAAGTATATGTGTATATATATAATTATATATATATATACATGTTGTAGTTGGCCTGGGGTCCAAACTGCCTGGCAGCTTCCTCCAACGACCAGCGGATCACGCCCCTTTTCGAGCTCACACAGCTGCTGATGCAAAAGTCACAAGGCTCAAAGGAGTGGCCAAAGGATTGCAAGGCACAGTCAGCCTTCTTCCAACAAAGATGGAGCCCCTGGCTCGTCAGGGCGACCACACCCACGAATCAATGCAGCAAGACATGTTGTGGTGTTGGAACTGGCACGAGCTGAAAGGCTATGTTCACATCCTCCAAGAGCTATTGCAATGATGTGGAATCACAACATGTACACACACACACATATATATATATATACATACATATATATAGAGAGAGATAGATAGATATGTAGATGTCATAAGGATTCATAAGGTATGTATATATATATATACACACATATATATATATACACACATACAAACGTTTAGCTCTTTGTGCATGTCCCTCTCGGATGCTGAAGATGTGTGAAAACCGCGCAAAAGGGTAGAATTTACCTGAAACGGATATCCATCCCTTGTGAAGATAAGTTGATGTTATTGCCCCAGTCAACATATTGTTCAGAGGGGGTGGCGGATGTTGATTCCTCATGAACATAAGTTGATGCTAGTACCCCATTCAACATTTTGTTCACAGGGGTGGCCGATGCTGATTCCGAATGAAGATAAGTTGATGTTATTTCTCATTCAACATATTGTTCAGAGGGGGTGGCGGATGTTGATTTCTTCTGAAGATAAGTTGGCTTTAGTTCCCCATTCAACATCTTGTTTAGAGGGGTTGGCCGATTTTGATTGCTCGTCATGATAAATACATATTGTCCAGGTTGTTTGCATGACAAAACACAACAGAACCGATGTTCTTCTTGGTGGGGGAACGTCCGGGTTGGACGGAACTTGTTTAGTACATGCCCTCTCAACTTTCATCTTATCAGCAAGTTCAATGCTTCATTTCAAAACCTCCACTTGTAACTCTGAACCTTTCGGAATATTTTCCACAGCAATTATAGGCCAGATTAAGACTTGAGGATGATCACTACAGTTATGGCCATGGCTACTAGTTAAAACTGGTTATTTCAATGGGATTATACATTCTGTAAACGGGGTTATAAGTTATAAGTAGCTATAACTGGCAAAGGGCCACAGCTATATCCAAGCCTCATAGGTGGAAAAAAAAATCACTTGGACTTGACTTGGGAAAGTTTTAGCTGAGACTGGGAGATCTTATCTATAAATGGATGATTTAGGGGTACCCCCATTTGAGGAAACCTCCATATGCGAGCTGCATGTCTTTTGCTTGCAGAAGGCAGTTGCGGTGTGCAGACGTGCATGCCTGATGCTTTTAACTGGACTTTACATTTGGGAAAGTAAAATAGATGTGCCGTGGATCCAGGAACATATGAAACAGAGTCCATAGGATATCCTTTGATCAACGTGACAGCCGTTCAAGGATTTTCAGCTCTCAATTCTTGGCCATTTGAACAAATCCCTAGATAGATGACAGTTCGATTCATTTTTGGGATGCTGTTCCAGCAGGAAACATCTGTGCGAATGGGCCATGTCTGAATCTTGTCGCCTTGCAGGATGTTTGGCTCCAGGCGTCCAGAGTCTTTGGTGATTTGGCGGTTTCTTGCTCGCGATGGGGCTGGGGACTACAGTCGGACAGTTCTAATCTAACGTCTTAGCAACTGTTTCTGTGGGAATTGTTGGAATTGCCAAGGTCTTCTGTTCCAAAAATAGGTCCCCCAAAACCATCTTCCTGGGTTGCTTTTTGCAGGCAACCCATTGGTCTTGCTTCACCGAAACTTAGGGGAATCGGATAGGTATTAGATTTTTCAAGGACGCATCGCAAAACCAGATTGCGACTCGCAACTTTAAATATTTATACGTTTGCTTGAAGCTTCGGTCAGTCCAAAACCACCATGGCGGTGCGCTGGAAAATCCCTGGGTTTTCCCTCGCAGCCGATCACACAAGCAAATTGGTTTTGGTCTCAGCCCATAGATACTATTAATGTGTGTGTGTGTGCGTTTGTATGTTTTAATGTACCTATTCCACATCTAATTTATACCGTCCACCTGTTCATGCCTTTCGTTCTGCCAAATCATGATGACGATGATGATGATGGTGGTGGTGGTGATGGTTGTGATGATGATGATGATGATGATGATGATGATGATGATGTTGGAGCCACTGTTCCCAATTAAATCCCATTCTTGGTCAGTCCTGTAAACTAAGATTTTTTTGTGGAGAAACCAAGACTTTTTTTGATCATTTTCCCAGGAAAAACATGGAAAAACATGTTAGTTTACCCCAGAGTAAGTCCATAGAAAAAAAATGCTCTGAATCAACTTCTTATATTATATACCCCAAATATTGGGGTATAATTGCCTAAAGAGTTACTGTTAGAAGCAATGCCTAACTATTATACTATGTCGTTTTTCTGCGCGCTCCCTTGAACCCCTCATCCCCCTCTTCCGCTTTCCTCCCCCCTCCCCTTTCCTCCCTCCTTTCACCCTTCCCCCGCAGCGCGCAGAAAAACGCCATACCTTGTTGTTCAGACAAGCCAAGGTGCTGCAAAATCTCACAAACTTGCAACAAGTGAGCTTCAGGGCCGCTTGGCCGTTTTCGAGATACCCTCTGGTAACCAGACGTGGCAATGGGAACTCCTCTATAAATGAAAGTTTGAATGGGAGAATCATCTATAAATGGTGGATTTCAATTGCAATGTTTGATTACCAGAGGGTAATTTTTGTTTGGAAGTTTCTGTGAGGATGATGAGGATGGGCGGACGGGCGGATGGATGGCTGGATGAGTTTTCAGCTGGCTGTTCTGTCATTTGCTTCTGTAACTGAGGGATATGGACTGGATATCGGGATCCAACCATGAAATTCTCAATTTATATAACTAGCAACAATTGGGGGATGTCACCCCAATTCAGGGTTTCATCGGGGGTCAAAACCTCTAACAACCAATATCAATGGACACGGAAAGAGAAAATCACCTATTATTGAAGAACACGCCTTTGCAGATGGGTCAAATCCTATTGGATCATATCCTCTGGTAAACTAACATAACTATGTAGATTCACTGCTTTTAAGTTCGGCAAATCAACCATACATGGTCATGTTCAATAGCAAACTGTCAAATTATTGAACCATAATTTGGTGGGAGAAGAAGTACATCCATAACTAGAGTAGCTTTGGTTTGAACCCAGGCCCAGGTTGTGAGCTATCACAGGGTTGAAGCAACACACATTGTTTGTTTTATCCAGAGTGGTACCCTTTGGTAACTCAACAGTTTGCTATTGAACATGGCCATAGACATAGTTGATTTAACATGGTTTAACAAAATTGTGATTTTCCATAACTAGGTTAGTTTACCAGAGTGGCAAACTCCAAAAAAAAGATACTGGCAACACAGTCTTATCGGAAATCTGGTTTTGTCCGGCAGTGTTCATGTGGTTGTGCCGGCTGCCCACCTGGCCTTTTTTTGGCCCGCCAGGGAAGCGAAATCCATGGCGATCTGTCTGCAGCCTTTAGCAATTTACCAGAGTTCAAATTTTTGGACCTGTCGGAGACCAAGGCTGGACTTGAATGTTGTTTTTTCCCCAAACAGTGTGGCCACACTGAGGGGTTCTTACGGTAACACTTGAGGCCCGGTGTTCAATCGAGGTGGTATCCGTCGCGTCCGGCATTTTCCCTGTAATTTTCCACAACATTGTGAAATGTCCATGTGCATTTCGACTGCGAAGGCTCGCACGAAACGGGGGCCCCGGAATTAGCATCCGGCATTTTCCCTGTAAATTTCCACAACATGGCTCTTGTGAAATGTCCATGTGCATTTCGACTGCGCAGGCTCGCACGAAACGGGGGCCCCGGAATTAGCATCCGGCATTTTCCCTGTAAATTTCCAGACAACATGGCTCTTGTGAAATGTCCATGTGCATTTCGACTGCGCAGGCTCGCGCATCATCATCATCATCATCATCATCATCATCATCATCATCATCACCATCATCATCATCATCGCCATCATCATCATCATCATCATCATCATCATCATCATCATCATCATCATCAGCATCATCATGATCATGATCATCATCATCATCACCACCATCATCATCATCACCGTCACCGTCACCTTCACCTTCATCATCGTCACCAAAATCATCATCGCCATTATCATCGCCAGTGTCATCGCCATCATCGCCATCACCTTCATCATCACCAACATCATCATCACCATCATCATCACCACCATCCTCATCAGCATCATCATCATCATCATCGTCATCATCATCATCATCATCAACATCACCATCCATCAACATCACCATCAACATTAACATCATCATCGACATTATAATTTAGATTCTCCTTTTACTCCCCCACACTGTTTGGGGTCTCTTGCTGGGATATTTTTTTTAGCACCCCAAACCGTGATTCTGATAGATCTTTATGAGGACGAATGATTTGAAGGTCTGTGGGTCTTTAGGTGTAGTTTTTAGCACCCCAAAAGTGATACAGTAGATTCTGGTAGATCTTTCGGATAAATGCAATCCAGATGGGATTCACCAACTGAACTACTTTTTTTTTTGTTTCCGCTGGAAAAGAACCTGCTTTTTTGGGTGCATGGCTTGATTTCAGTCAATGTTTGTGTTTAAGGCTTGCCATGCAAATGGCCCATTTTAGTGCTAGATTGAACCTGGAGGTTTGCCATTCTTCAAGTTTGAGAGCGGTGTTTGATGCGGAAATCGACATTTGACACCTGAACAGAAGTCAAAACACTCATCCCAAATCTACTGCTTTGTTCAATCGCCCATAGCAGCCATAGCACAACTGATCAACACGGGTCAACTGGTTGTTGCTCATGTCCTTGCAGGGTGGTGCCCCATAGTTGGCTAAGTTGGTTTTATAAGTCCAATAACTATGGTTTATAGGTGATATATCTATAGTTGATGGGATTATCCCATTTATAACTGGAGGGGGCATTACCTGCTTGGTGCTGTTATTTCCATCCTACCTCGGAGACCGACCCCCAATGACTAATGTTTTTTCAATGGTGTTGAACACCACCAAGCAGATCGCGCAATTGTATGAATGTGGCAAATTCAATGACATAAGCATCCCCACTTGTGGTGTATGAAATTGGGAAATTATGTTTATTTGACCGATTCTTTTGCTGGGATGGTTGATGGTGTTGGGCTTGGTCGGTCAGTGCATCCCAGCAATCGTAAGTGATTAGAAAAATCCACAAACATGAAACTGGACCGAAAAATATTTTCCTCCTCATCATCACCATCATCATCATCACCACCATCATCATCATCAGCATCATCATCGTCATCGTCATCATCTTCATCACCGTCATAATAATCATCATCACCATGATCATCGCCATCATCATCACCACCATTGCCATTATCATCACCAACGGCATCATCATCATCATCGTCGTCGTCATCATTATCATCATCATCATCATCAACATCACCATAATCATCATCATCATCGTCGCCATCATGATCATCATCATCATCATCATCAGCATCATCATCATCATTTTCATCATCTTCTTCTTTTTTCTTTTTCATCATCAGCTTCTTCTTCACCACCATCATCATCATCATAATCACCATCACCATTATTTTCATCATCATCATCATCACCATCATCATCATCATCATCATCAGAATCACCACCATCATTATCACCATCATCACCATCATCATCATCACCATCATCATCATCATCATCATCACCTTCACCATCGCCAACATCATCATCACCATCAACGTCATCATCATCATCATCATCATCACGATCATCAGCACCATCATCATCATCATCATCATCATCGTCATTGTAAAACTCAGTTGAACTGTCTCTCACTCTGTCCTGACAATCTCCCTGTAGCCCAGCAGCTGTACCCTGCGCTGCAGTTTTCACTGTGTACGCTCAAGGGCCCTGTATAGAGCCAAGTCATGTACCAAGCCAGGTATGTACCAACTCCAGGTATACACAGCTGTACACAGGTGGACATGTACATGCATGGTGGCGTCTGTATTTAACACCCCTTCTCGACACACGCATGTACTGGACACAAGCACCACCAAATGTTGAAATGCAACTGGATCAACTTTTACAATCTCAGCCACCTAGTGTGTTCAACCAAATCGGGTCGTACTGTACCTTGAGACCCCAAAGTCCATGCGCATATGTACTGGGATGTACTGTCTAGATGTAGCTGTACAAAATCTGCATCAGCTACTCGCATGTATCAACATCATGTATCAACAGCCCTTCACTACTTATAATTCCTCTCAGCTCTCAGTTCCTGTGCTTCAGGGATTGCCAGCTGTAGTCTCATCAGCGGTAGTGTCCATGGCAGTCAATGTAGTTGAGGTGGCTGTAGTGGCTGGAGCTGTAGCCATGGCTGACACTTTATCCCTCATCTGTTGAGATCCCAAGTTCTCTGCCTCATTGCATTGCTCTTTCACATGTGCAGCGAATTGAGCTGCGTAATGTAGCAGCGCCCTCTGTAAATCATCTGGCATGTGTCGTACCAGAGTGGTACAGGCTCATCGCAAGGCCAGCATGTTGAGGGTCAGTGCCGGGCCTGTTGATCACTGTACGAACATTCAGAGGCACATGTTGGGCCCAGGTGTACCTACCCATTGGTAAAGCTGTAGCTTTGAAGAATTTGCATCCAGTTGGCGCGAATCCTGAGCACTCGCTGCGATCCATGCTCCGCAGTGTCGAACATGCACGCAGGTTCTAGCTGTATCTCTCCTCAGCTACCATGTTGAAACTGTAGCAGCTGTATCTCTTCTCAGCTCTCGGCGGGCGTATGCCCGCTTGGTACAAGTGCTACTGTAGCACTTCTCTTGTCACATACGTTGTAAGTATGTCAGCTGGATTGTGCTTGGCGTTGATTTTGTGTATCGCAAGGATACCATCGTGGATGAGATGTTTGATGAACATGTACTTCAGTTCAATGTGTTTTTGCTCTTTTGGAGATTCCGATGCGCGCAGCCATACTTTTACCCGACGTGCTTTCCTTTTCCTTTGCACATCAGGCCGATGTCCATTGGTTGTGGGTCTGTTGAACCTGCACTTGTGTTGAGTGCTTGTTGTTGGGCTTGCATCGTGGAAAATGCTGTAATTGCTCTGTGATACTCAAGAATGAGCTCACGTACATCAGCATAACGCTGAATTGTACCTGCTCGGAGTTGTAGGTATTGTTGCAGCGCTCCTTTTGTTTCGTTGAGTAGTAATGCAATTTTGATGTTGTCCGGTATTGGTGCTTGGTTGTCCCTTTCGTACCGGGCGATTTCAAACTTCCATGTTGTAAATGGCTCTTCAAACTTCTGTTTGTTGAATTGTGGCTTGAGTAGTTTTGTAAGGTATCCTACGCTGCGTGTACCGACTGGTATGGAGAACCTGTTGTGTAGTTGCCTCCAGGTCTCCAAGCCTTGTGCTTGTGTACTGTGCTGTCTGCACAGTGCTGCTGCTTGTCCTGAACAAACGCTGACCAGTATGTAGTGTAGGTCTCTACTGAGTTGTGCCCAAAGTTGTGCTTCTTGTGGTGTAGTTGCTCCATATCTAAGGAGGCCAGTCTGTAACCTCCATGTTGGATGTTTCTGCTTTTTGTAGTAGTCGTGGGAATTCGGAGTTTTGTAGCCCAAGGTAGGCTACCATCGTGAAGTATGGTGGTTGTAGTTTGTACCTGTGCATTGATTGTAGTTCTCCTCCAGCTGCGGCCTTGTTATTGTTGTACTCTTCTCAACTACTGTTGCTTTGTTGCTTTGTGTATTGGAGCTCACCCTGTCCTGTATCGTCCAGGGATCACTGCTCCGCTACCATGTAAAACTCAGTTGAACTGTCTCTCACTCTGTACTGACAATCTCCGTGTAGCCCAGCAGCTGTACCATGAGCTGCACTTTTTGCTGTGTACGCTCAAGGGCCCTGTGTAGAGCCAAGTCATGTACCAAGCCAGGTATGTACCAACTCCAGTACATGCATGGTGGCGTCTGTATTTAACAGTCATCATCATCACCATCATCATCTTCATCAGCATCAGCATCACCATCAACATCATCATCATCATCATCATTGGGTTAAGTTCTTGATTGGTATTACTTACATCCAGTAGTTGCCATATGTTGGATGACAGCAGCATGTTCTGGAACCGGATTAGTGGAAGGGCTCCCCAAGTACTCGATTGGCGTGGTACTCCAATGTACCCCACAGAACCCTAGATACACGCACCATGAGTCCTACTTGTCTTAGTTCTAAGCAAACTTACATCCTTACACTGATGATAAATCACATTTTTGCTGGTGAGGTCCCCATTTTTGCTATATAGATCATTTTGCCAATCGTGTTTTTTTCCCTGGACCTCCGCAAAAAGATGCCGACACGTGTTTCCAACATGCTACTTCGATGGTGTTTTCTTCAGAATTTCCCTCCAGTTTTTTGCCACCTTTGGAAAGTGTTTTTTGGGACTAAAGTCCCATTAAGCTCCCATGATTTTCCACCAGAAATCCGGTTGATGGCATCCCAGTGGCTCTAGTGTCTTTCCATGTGGCGCCAGGTGGGGGGCAATTTGGCCGGATTGCCTCAGTTTCCGGAACTCCGCAGACTGTACCTGAAGAACACCCAGGCGCCCTCGCAGAAAAATTCACAAAGACATGGCGATTTTCCCACTCCCATCCATTCCCTCAGAATTTTTGATTTCTAATATACATAAATAATGATAAATAGTGACTAGCATTCAAACCTTTAGCATGGTGGGCCAAGCAGATAAGAACTGAGCAGTGTGTCATAAAACTTATTGATTTATTGTCAGTATTGGTGTTCTGCTGACTTTTTCGAAAAGGGATCAACTAACCAATCCATGATTGGACCAGTTGTCGCAACAGAAACAGCAAAAACTACATTTTACCTTGTCTCTGTCTCTTATCATATGAATGTCGGTACCTTTTTTACTGACCTCGGCCACCATTTTTGACGACGAAGGTCAACAGTCAGCTGATTCAGGTAGGGTAACGCTACCTCCAAAGCATCCAACAAAAACGACGAATTCATTTTTAGTATGAAAATCTATGGGTTGAGGGTACCACCTGTTTTGAGATACATCCATATAGATGAGCCTCCTTTTGCAAAACACATTTAGCCCGCCATGTTTGCTGGAATTACTGTATCTTTGAGTATTGCGCCATGCAGATCAAAATAAAAATATCTATACATACTAACGTGGTAAACCCCATAATGAACAATCCCCAAAATCAAACAAACTATTATGGCATTGGGTGAATCCCACATAGAAGGACTCATAGAATCTGCCAAATCACAAATGATATCAACGCCTGAAACAATGGAACAGTCATTGCGTGCATAAACATTGTTTTTTAGTATTTTGACATTCTAGTTTGCTATACATGGATCTATTTACCCACCAACTTATATTTTTTTTTTGCATGGCACCCTCTGGTCAAGTGGAAGCCATGGCCATGGCGGTGATTTTCCATATGTTAAGTGCATCTAAGTGTAGCCACATTAAGACTGATTAATATCATCCATTGTAATGGGACTTTCCATTAGAAAGCATCCAGCTATTGGGGTACCCCCATTCATGGAAGCGCCCATTTTGTTTTCGATTCTCCGGTCCTGCTATAGGGACGCAGTGACACAGAATGGCTCAGAATTTGTTCAAAGACCCAAAGTCTTAAAAGCAATCTTTGGTTGTAAGCCATATTTTCTTCACATGGAGCCCATATGCATTGTATATATATATATATGTACATTATGATATAATATAATATAATATAATATAAAATAATATAATATAATATGATATGATATGATATAATATCGTATAATACAATACAATTTAATATAATATAATATAACATAATATAATATAATATCATTTAATATAATATAGTATAGTATAATATAGTATAATATAATATAAATAAGATTATATAAAATAATATAACATAATATAATACAAAATGATACAATACAATATAATATAATATAATATAATATATAACTTAATATACTATAATATATAATACAATATAATATAATATATTATATTATAATATAATATAATATAGTATAAAATAATATTTTGATATATATATATGTCCTGAAAATCCTGTTCCCCAATTTGTTTGGAGTTCCAAGTGAAATTCGAGTGAAATTCAGGACACACTCAGCGATGGGAAATTCCGCTTTTCGGATGCGCACAATTTTCAGTGGCAGCACTGGAGAATTTTTCCCATTGATTAATAGAGGGGTGTGATGGTTTACCCTCTGGTTATGTCAAAATAGCTTTTGAAAATAACCATTTATAGTGGATTTACCCATTAAAAATGGTGATTTTCCATAGTTATGTTAGTTTACCAGAGGGTACCCCTTTAACAACAGGTAGATGATGATAGATGGCATACCAAACTGCATGTGTTGACATTTCTGGTGAGAGTTCGACATTAAAGCCGATGCTTGCACCTTCGCACCTGAAGGTTGCGGACTTTCTGTTTCTCATTGAGTACAAGCTTGGTTTTTAAGGCATCGCCATATCCCCATTCTCTCTCTACATTTATCGACCGTGCACATAAACTAATGTTGATGGGAACATCATCTATAAATAGAGGTTTCAATGGAAGCATCCCCCTATAATCAATGGAACATCTTCTGAATGGAGGTTTCGTTGGCCTTTTTTCATCGAACGAAATGGGGCAGATTGGACCCACTCAATGGGGGATACCGCATTTTTGGCCATTTTAAGAAGGAACATGATGATACACTGGAGAAAAAACGGGGGTACCCTATTCTCAGACAACCCCACATATATACATATATCCCGCGAAAATTCCATCTTTCTTGATTATACAATATTATACATGACCGTTTTAAGTGATAAATCGCAGAGATTTTAAAGACAACCTGTGCCGCATGCCAGGTCTTTGGGAATTTGAAGACTCTGTCAAACATAGCCAACATTACGGCTTTGGATCTCTCCAACACCAGTGTATCAGGTGCGTCGTCACGGCTGTCACTGGGCTAGCCACGCAAAAAAAAAAAATCAATGGATTTGTGGAAAATTCTACAGAAAACCCATGCTATATGTCTTATCCTGTGTTTTTCTTTGGTGTTTCCTGTAGAATTTCCCTCAAGCCAATCCATTGAACAAATGGCTGCAGAACGTCAAAGGTTTCTCTCAAACCCAACCATGATTTTTCGGAGAAAAGACGTTCCATGATTTATACTGAGAGGGGCTGATCCTTTGCGAAACAACCAAGATCTCGAATCTCGAATCTCAACCCTGGCATTTTATCACGCAGGGCTCATTTTTTCATAGCAGGGATCATTAAAAAAACCATCCCAGCGGACTGGTATCAGCCCCAAGCACAAGATGTAAAAATCAAGGCTTCGCCAATTGAAAACCTGGAAATGTATTGGATCGTATTGAATCGACAAATCTACTGGGGTCCCATGATTTTGCGTTTTTGCTTTGTTTCTTAATGGAGATGGGATGATTTTTCCCATCAATTTGACATCAGGAGAACATAATTTTTCTGAAATTAAAATCAGGAGGACATAATTATTGGAATATTAACATAGTTAACCATAATGAAATATTATTATATAAATTATTAACATAATAATTATTAAAATATTAGAATCTAATAATTAGACTATTAACATATTTAACCACAATGGTAAAAAAAACATTAACCAACAGAGCCGAGCTCGGGGGGGCTCAAAATTGGAGGTGGAAGAGTACCTGGATGGTTTTTGGAACAGATCCCATTCCGGCAATTTTTTTCAAGATATTGAACAACCTTTAAGAACAACATCATCATAGATCGGGTAGAGTATGTGATATTTTTCGCAGATTTAGCATTGACGTCTACTAAATATTTACGTGGCACGAAACAGGCGACATTTCGGCAATCTTGAAGTGGCCGATGGTTCTTGAGGCGCGGCGCGGACCGAAGGGGAGAAGAGTCCCAAAAGGCGTTGGTTGGTTTCAAAGCTGTGTAACTAGGGTTTTGGTGGATGATATCTATATAATATTCTACAGTCTAATAATGTTTAATATGTTGTTTTTGGTAAGGGTCCCTCGAGGGCGTCGTGCGTTTTTGACACTTTTTCATATTTTTGGCACTGTCGCAACATGCTGGTCGTGTCACGTGCTGTCTTGTTCTCATGTGCGTCGTTGCATTTTCCGCGCTTTTTGCTGTGTTGCTTGACGCTGTTGGTTGCGTTTATAGTTGCATGTTGGCATGGCAGGGTTTGTTCTGGGGGGTGGGGGGGGGGGGGGGGGGGGGGGGGGGGGGGGGGGGGGGGGGGTGGGGGGGGTTGGGGGGGGATGATAACGTTCTTGTTTATTAACGTTCCTGCATGTGCGTTCTTGACACGCTGTTCACTTTTGCAAGTGATGGTTTGACACGCGTTCGTTCTTTGGAGCGCATATGTTGACGTTGGTATCCGGTGGCGCTGCCAAGAAAAGAACGCCTGTGTCTCACACCTGTCCAAAGCTTTGAAAGCAATGTATGCGCGATGAGGTTGAAAAAAAGTTGCTTCGGAGACCCCTCTTGGAAGATGCATTTGTAAAACATTCACGAAATGCAGGTTTTAAGGCCGTTGTGCGTTCAAAAACGCACGACGCCCTCGAGGGAACCTTCCCTTGTTTTTTCACCAACTTACAACGGGGGGGGCATTACTTTGTTAGATGTTAGGTGACTTTTGGATACTTTTGGAACATCGGATTGCGGCTGCGCATCTTGATCTTGGTGATGACTTTTGTTCAGAACAAGGCCTAGGCGGCCTAGATGGAAAAAAAGACTCCGGTAGTTTAGCATAGCTATGGAAGCCGTGGCCCATTTAGCTCGATAATTTACCTATTATACTTCGCTGCAAACCCTACGTTTGACCGTCTGACCGTGCCGGAAGTCAGCTGAAGTTCAGAAGGGGTGGGGGATTTGACCCTTCATGAAGGGAAGTGGAAGTTAATAAATAAACCATTCAATATATTTGTTCAGAGAGGGTGGAGGATTTGATCCCTTCTGAGGAGAAGTGGAACTTAATAAACCATTCAATATATTTGTTCAGAGGGCGTGGGGGATTTGATCCCTTATGAAGAGTAGATTCCCCTAGTAGAAAGCGTCCCTGTGAAAAACTTATGGATGTCTCAGCCGGATATTAGGATTGTTTGAAAGCAGCAGGCTACAGTCCTTACTTGTGTCGCCAGAGAGTAGCGTGTTTGGAGGGTGTAGATCATGTTTGAGCCAGATAGTATGGTCGAACTTGGGCTTTGGCGCCAACATGTAAAAATTGTGATGTTCAATAGCTTTTTTTTAGCTACTGTACCCCCTCGGGTAGAATGCGTCAAACAAAATCGCATTTTTTTGCAAAAGGACCTGAAAGGCCGGCTGGGAGCTACCAAACCTCATTCCAAGCTTGCCTCCTCCACCCGAAGACTTGAAGGGTGGACATTTTTGGAGATATGGGGGTTTCCTACAATGGGGGTACCCCCAGTAGCTGGATGGTTTATTTCATGGAAAATCCAGCTATAAATGGATGATGAACAGGGGTACCCCCATGACTTAGGAAATTCCCATATTTCGGGATATTGTGGGACATCACACTCAAAACCAAACACTTCTCAAGATTGCTATCTTAACAAATCCCAATAGATTAACTTGTTTTTTTTGAATGTTTCATCATAGTAATGAACCTCTCCCCGATATCACCCAGACACCCTGGTTCTCAAGATTTGATATGTGAAAAATCTGATTGCTGTGATCGAGCGCCCCGTTCAGAACGATTTTCAGATTTACCCTCTGGTAAACTAACATAACTATGGAGAAATCACAGTTTTTCATGGAAAAACTCACTATAAATGGTGATTTTCCATAGTTATGTTAGTTTACCAGAGGGTATCATTGTGGCTCAACCACCAACCTGAACAACATTACTTAGTTCTCCGCATGAAACATCCACGCGGGACCCCAACAAAGTTGGTATTCGCCCTGAAACAATGCTGACATGCATGCGTGAAATGATATGCATGGATATACTATCCAATAATCAGCCATAAAATGGTGATGATTAGTTTTCGTATGATCTACTTGGATAAATTTGAGCAGGACCTCACATCGCAACAGCGCTGGAACAATGGGAATTGGATTCGGGGAGTCATCTCCAAATGCATAGCCCAGCTGAAATTTGCAGCCTGGTGAATGATTATGTCATCATTGGATACCATTTTTGTGGTCATTTGATTGTCATTTGATGGCATTTAGTGGCATTTATGGTGATGTTATGGCATTTTATTGGCATATTTGATGGGGAACTGATTTACCCTCTGGTAATTTAACACAGCTACTATAGAATCTATAGAGAATCACCACTTCAATAGGGAAGTGGTAAATCAACTATAAGTGGCCATTTTCAATAGCTATGGTAAATTACCGCAGGGTTTTTGAGTTTTGCAGATAATAATAATAATATCGCCATTACCAACAGTGGGATACTGAGGTGACCCGAAACAAAGTTTGGTCATCAGGCTATCCAATCACCAAACTTTTGCTCCCCATGCCACTTTGGATACCCTCTGGTAAACTAACATAACTATGGAAAATCACCATTTTCAATGGGTAAATCCAGTATAGATGGCAATTTTCAATAGCTATGTTAAATTACCAGAGGGTATATCACTTAGACTTAGATATGTACTCAACATAGTCAATTTTTTTTCTATCCTTTTGGACACTACTATTCAAGATACATGCATTATATTATATAACACCAGAAAACCATTAACATATCATACAAAACCATTAAGATCCCATTGAAAATCTATAAAATCCCATTAAGCACACTTAATTACTTTACTTCGTGTGATCCCCACCGTGACATTTATACATTTTCTTACTGGCAAATCTTCTGGCATTCTATCTGACATATCTTCTGACATTCTATTTGACATTCTATCTGGCATATCTTCTGGCATATGATCTGGCATATCTTCTGGCATATCTTCTGGCATTCTATCTGGCAAATCTTCTGGCATTCTATCTGGCATATCTTCTGGCCCTCTATCTGACATATCTTCTGGCATTCAATCTGGCATTCTATCTGGCATATCTTCTGGCATATATTCTGACATATCTTCTGGCATTCTATCTGACATATCTTCTGGCATATATTCTGACATATCTTCTGGCATATCTTCTGGCATATCTTCTGGCATATCTTCTGACATATCTATCTGGCATATCTTCTGACATATCTATCTGGCATATCTTCTGGCATATTTTCTGGCATTCTATCTGGCAAATCTTCTGGCATTCTATCTGGCATTCTATCTGGCATATCTTCTGGCATATTATCTGGCATTCTATCTGGCATATCTTCTGGCATATATTCTGACATATCTTCTGGCATTCTATCTGGCATTCTATCTGGCATTCTATTTTGCATTCTATCTGGCATATCTTCTGGCATATCTTCTGACATTCTTTCTGACATTCTTTCTAATTTTCTTCTGCACATTCTTTGTCCCATATCTTCCTACATGAGGTCCGGCAGGGAACACTTGGCGTGGATACTCGCGGTTGAGGTCCGGCAGGGAACACTGGGCGTGGATGGTCGTGGTTGAGGTCCGGCAGGGAACACTGGGCGAGGATGGTCGTGGTTGAGGTCCGGCAGGGAACACTGGGCGTGGATGGTCGTGGTTGAGGTCCGGCAGGGAACACTGGGCGTGGCTGGTCGTGGTTGAGGTCCGGCAGGGAACACTGGTCGTGGATGGTCGTGGTTGAGGTCCGGCAGCGAACACTGTGGATCGCGAGTCGCAGTTGAGCAGGAGGACGAGGAGGACAACGAGGACGACGAGGACAACGAGAGGACGACAAGGATGACAAGGAGGACGAGGAGGACGAGGAGGACGAGGAGGAGAGGAGGAGGAGGAGAGGAGGACGAGAGGAGGACGAGGCAGGAGGAGGAGGAGGCAACTGACATAAAATCTAACAACCCTCACCTGGCAGGTGGGGAAAAACCAATAAGATCCCATTGAGCCCAATTAAAAACCTATAAAATCCCATTGAGCACCATTAAAAACCTAAAACATCCCATTAAGCACACTTAAAACCTATAAGATCCCATTAAGCACAATCAACAACCTATAAGATCCCATTAAGCACAATTAAAAACCTATAAAATCCCATTAAGCACAATTAACAACCTATAAAATCCCATTAAGCACACTTAAAAACCTATAAGATCCCATTAAGCACACTTAAAAACCTGTAAGATCCCATTGAGCCCAATTAAAAAACTATAAACCCCCATGAAGCACAATTAAAAACCTATAAAACCCCATTAAGCACAATCAACAACCTATAAAATACCATTAAGCAATAAAAACCTATAAAATACCATGAGGCACAAATAAAAACCTATAAAATCCCATTAAGCACAATTAAAAACCTATATATAAGATCCCATTAAGCACAATCAACAACCTATAAATTCCCATGAAGCACAATTAAAAACCTATAAAATCCCATTAAGCACAATTAGAAACCTATAGAATCCCATTAAGCACAATTAAAAACCTATAAGATACCATTAAGCACAATCAACAACCTATAAATTCCCATTAAGCACAATTAAAAACCTATAAGATCCCATGAAGCACAATTAAAAACCGATAAATTCCCATTAAGCACAATTAAACACCTATAAAATACCATTAAGCACAATTAAAAACCTATAAAATCCCATTAAGCACAATTAACAACCTATAAAATCCCATTAAGCACACTTAAAAACCTATAAGATCCCATTGAGCCCAATTAAAAAACTATAAAACCCCATTAAGCACAATTAAAAACCTATAAAACCCCATTAAGCACAATTAAAAACCTATAAAATCCCATTAAGCACAATTAAAGCCCAATTAGTGGAATGGTATTACCACCCCCAAAAAAACCCTGTGCAGGTGGATCTTTCAAGGACGAAGGTGACCGGCAGACTGGGAAGATCTTGGGCAAAATGCTGCAAGAGATTGCATACGTTGAGGTTGGCCAACACACAAGAGACTTGGCTAAAAGAGCTGAATCTATTTATATTTCATATAATCCCATATTAATTCCATTTTAAGGTGAATCTCCAATATAATATATATATATACTATATATTGAATTACACGTAACTGTTAAAATGGTTTTGATCGTGACTGGGATTGATATTGATCGTTTTTATTGCAACCTAATATCCCCACACAAGAGGCTTGCACATACATATATATATATATACATATATATATATCTGTGGCAATTAAAAAGCGGTTTCGAACGCGGCCTCGATACTTGGGCCAATCCAGATTGCTGTTGTAGTAGTTCCAATAAGACACAAGTTTCCTCCAGTATCTTTTATATCTATGAATGGAGGTTTCCAGTCATGGGGGAACCCCCCAATCATCCAGTCATTTCCATGAAAATGACTTTGTAAGTAAACCCATGATGACTTGGGGGTAGCCCATTTTAAGCCTGCTCGAAGTCTCCACACATTGTATTGTAAAAACATATCCTGATCCTGGAGGAGCCGAAGGTTTTTTTTTAGATTCCTGGTGTGTTCTTTGGCGATGCTTTTGGCGGCCAGTAACGGATTGTAGAACCCGCGCGAGGCGGGTGGCGGAAGTTTCCAGGTTTAAGAAGTGTAACGCCCCATTGGATCCAAAGACAAGGTTTGCCCAAAAAGGAGATGCAGCGGACCCTCACAGCTTCTCAACTCTGTTCCGTGAATTCGTCCCATTGCCTCACCCCTTTTCAATTGTGACCACTTCTGAACTCTTCTCAGACCATCTCAGCTCTTCTCAATTTTCGCAACTCTTGTCAACAGCTCTCAAAGTTGTTTCATCTCTTCCCACCTCAGCTCATCTCTTTTCACCTCTTCCCTGCTCTTCTCAACTCTTCTCAACGACTATCACCTCTGCCCACCTCGTCTTAACTCTTCTCAACTCGTCTCAACGCTTCTCACCTCTTGCCACCCCCTCTTCCCACCTCTTCTCACCTCCGCTCAACTGACTCATCTCACCTCTTTCTCAGCTCATCTCAACTCTTCTCACCTTCTCAACTCTGGCCAACTCTTCTCAACACTTTTCACCTCCTGTCACAGAGATTCTTACACGCAGAGCAAGCTTTTACACGGAGAAGCATTTACACACAGCAAGCTCTTACACAGAGAAGCTTATACACACAGCAAGCTTTACACACAGCAAGCTAACACAGCAAGCTTTTACACAGGGAAGCTTTTACACAGAGAAGATTTTACACAGAGCAAGCTTTTTCACAGAGCAAGCTTTTGCGCAGAGAAGCTCTTGCACAGAGAAACTTTTACACAAAGCAAGCTTTTACACGGAGAAGGTTTACACACAGCAAGCTTTTACACAGAGGAGCTTTTACACAGAGAAGCTTTTACTCACAGCAAGCTTTTATACAGAGAAGGCTTTACACAAAGCAAGCTTTTTGCACGGAGAAGCTTTTCCACACAGCAAGCTTTTACACAGAGAAGCTGCTACACAGGATCCGCCAAAATTGAAAAATATCTGCTGCCAAAGCACCATTCACAACCTTCATGCAGCCACTAAATTTTGCGATTTACGATTCTCAGCTGCAAAAGGCATGAAAAGTATTTTGCACGCAGCAGCGAAGAACCTTGACGCAGCTATTCCACTGCGATCTGCAGAGTCTGATTTGCAAAACGCAATAGTATACGCACAACGGCTACACAAATTGCAGCTCCAAAACCGGCGATGCCCAAAGCACCATTCGCAACTTTCATGTTGCCATTATATTGTGATTACGACTTTCAGCTGCCAAAGACAATAGCATTCCGCACGCAGCCGCAGCAGCGAGGAACCTTGACTCAGCCATTCCACTAAGATCTGCATACACTGAGTTGAGAAACACGATAGAATTGCAAAACACTACTGTAGAACACATCGCTTTGATGCATCAGTTCCAATGCACAAAGTACCTCAACACATGCAAACTACCATAGAATTGCAACACCCTTCTGTAGAACACATCGCTGTGATGCACTTTGTGTCTCCTCACATGCAAAACACAATAGCACAGCATCAACAAAAGAAGAGAAAAAGGCACCTGGAACCCTCAGTTACATTGCGCACGCAGATCGAGCATGATTCCACGCTAAAGCGGCGACGCCCGCAACCGTCGCGCACGCGAGGCAAGGTTTCTCCGCAACGGAACCTCCGTTTACCAGAAAAATACAATGTTTCGTGCAAATCCTAACATTCAAATCGCATCCATGATGTAGCATTTCCAGTGCGTTTTGCCAAGAGTGACTTGCAAACCACAATCAGAATCGTTACTTCTTTGCTCTACTCGCCTCTTCCCTACTCTACTTTTCTCGACTCTACCCCTACCCCTACCAAACTGCTACTCTAGCGCTATCTTTGAGCTAGTGAGAATGTGATTTCATGATCTCTTAAGGCACATGCCAACTGGACACAGTGATCTCTAAGCTAGTGAGAATGTGACTTCATGATCTCTTAAGGCACATTCCAACTGGACACAATGATCTCTGGGCTAGTGAGAATAAAACCCTCCGTTACTCGGAGTTCCCTCCATGAAACTTCCTTTGATTATATATACATATATATATACATATTTTGAATATATAAATAGAATATGTATATATATAATATTTATACATCTAAAATATATAAAATATATATAATATATAACATTTATACTATATATAATATATACAATCTATAGCATATATATATATTATATAACACATAAAATAAATATAGTTTACATGATTTAAAGAATATAATGCACATATAAAAATATACACATCATATTTTTAATATGATATATACATAATCAAAAATATGCAATATAATATGTATGATAATAAATTTTGTTTGAAATATTTCAAATATTTAGGCTATTTCATTTTTAATATATTATAATAAAATATATTTTGTAAAATGTATACAATATATAATATATATAATTGATTGTTCAATATATATAATATATTGAATATATATATGATTCATTTTATATGTGATATACAATATATATAATATATATCATATAATATATATATATATAATAAATATAATATATAGTACATAAATATTTAAATACATGTAATATATTTACATAATCTATATATATAAATATTATCTTTTTAATATTTATAATATATTATGTTTCAATAATAAATTTATTAACATACTACATTGCATGTAAAATATTTCTGATTTATATAATATTATGAAAAACTTGCAGCCACAGACTGGGCCAGGTCAAAATAGTTTTTTTTTTTTTAAAAAAAAATCATTTTGGTTATCATTACATTCATCATTTTTTATCATTTATTTTATCATCTTCCTTTTTTTTATCATTTCAGGTATCATTTTTTGATCAGTTTTTTTTAAATCATTTTTTTATCATTGTTTTTTATCATTTTTTAATCATTTTTTTATCAAATGATAAAAAATGAAAAAAATGATAAAAATAAAAAAAATGAAAAAACTCGAGGAACATTGCAATTTTTCATTTTTTGGAAAATTGCAATTTTCCTCGTTTTTTTTATCATTTTTTTTCATGTTTTTATCATTTTTTTATCATTTTTTTACAATTTTTCATCATTTTTTATCATTTTTCATCAATTCCACCACTGGAAGCAAAAATGATAAAACAAATGATAAAAAAATGATTAAAACATGATAAAACAATGATAAAAAAATGATAAAAAAATGAAAAAACTCGAGGAAAATTGCATTTTTTTATTTTTCGGAAAAAAAAATGCACCACTGGAAGCAAAAATGATGAAAAATGATAAAAAAATGAGAAAAAAAAGGAAAAAAAAGAGAAACCACAATGATAAACAAATGATAAAAAAATGAAAAACATGAAAAAAAGGAAAAAAATGAAAAACAAATGAAAAAAATGAAAAATGAAAAAACATGAAAAAAACTCGAGGAGAATTGCAATTTTCCCAACCTCGTTTTTTTTCCCCATTTTTTTCATTTTTTTTATCATTTGTTTATCATTTTTTTCATTTTTTTAATCATTTTTCATCAATTCCACCACTGGAAGTAAAAATGATAAAAAAATGATAAAAAACATGGAAAAAAACTCGAGGAAAATTGCAATTTTTTATTTTTCGGAAACTTTTTGAACCACTGGAAGCAAAAATGATGAAAAATGATAAAAACATGATAAAAAAATGAAAAAAATGAAAAAAAAATGAAAAACATGAAAAACAAAGGAAAACAATGAAAAAACAATGAAAAAAAAATGAATAAAACTCGAGGAAAATTGCAATTTTTCATTTTTTGGGAAATTGCAATTTTCCTCGAGTTTTTTCATTTTTTTTTCATTTTTTTTTCATTTTTTTTTCATTTTTCATCATTTTTTAACATTTTTCATCAATTCCACCACTGGAAGCAAAAATGATAAACAAATGAAAAAAATGAAAAAAAACTCGAGGAAAATTGCAATTTTCCAAAAAATGAAAAATTGCAATTTTCCTCGAGTTTTTTTCATTCTTTTTTTATTTTTTTTCATTTTTTTTTATCATTTTTCATCATTTTTTATCATTTTTCACCAATTCCACCACTGGAAGCAAAAATGATAAAAACAATGATAAAAACATGATAAAAAAATCAAAAAAAACTTGAGGAAAATTGTAATTTTCCATTTTTTGGAAAATTTTTGCACCCACTGGAAGAGAAAATGATAAAAAAATGAAAAAAATGTTCAAAAAAATGATAAAAAAATGATAAAAAATGATAAACAATGAAAAAAAAGAAGATGATAAAATAGATGATAAAAAAATGATGAATGTAATGATAACCAAAATGATAAAAAAATGAAAACAAAAATATTTTAAAGATTTCCAATGTGTAGCTGGCTCGGTTCTTCATAAATATAATATTTATATTTTATATATAATATATAATTGATATATAGATATATTTAATAAAATTAATTTATATAACATATAAAATATTTTGAATATTTATATTATATATAATAGGTATATAATATATATAATATATACATATCTTTTGAAATATATATCATATATATAATATATATTATTTAATATTACATATATATATATAAATATTATATATAATATATATTTTATATATAATAGATATAATATTAAATATATATTATATATACAATATATTATATATAATATATAAAAAATATATATCATATATAAAATATATATTATTTTACATATTTAAGATATTTAATATATATAATATATACTTTTTATATATACATAATTTATATATATTTAATTCAGATTATATATATGATATTTATAATGCATAAATTTCATATGATATTTTTCATTTTTCATTATACAATTTGTATATTTATTATACACATAACATATATAATATTTTTTATTTTTATAATATAAATATGTATATATATATATAATAGATATGATATAGGTAATATATTTTCTATAGATAATATAATTTATATATAATATGTAATATATACATTTACAATAAAGTATTATATGCAAAAAATATATATGTATATATATATACACACGGTGGGGCGATTTGGGGCTGTCACCACACAGCCACTGCCATTTCAAGCTGCTCCTCGCTAGAACAGAACTGTTGCCCAAATAGGAATCCATCATTGCCTCACATCCAAGTTCCCACAATGGATTGGGATAAGAGTATAGTATTGGATAGTATATACATATTTTCTTTGGGATATATATCCAATGGGGTTGTATGGGATAGAATGCACATACAATTTAAATTATATATATATACACTTTATTATGGGATACCTACAATGTTAATCCCCAATACATTGGATAGTATATATATATATATATCTACTATATATATATAATCCCATAGAATAGTCAACCAACAAGGGTTTGAGCACTGCTCAAGGGGCTGCGACATCCCCGAACTAAATGGACGTTTATGGCTGGAAAAATGATCTCAGCAAGTCTAAGAAATGGAAATTTTCCAGCAATTCATGTTTGATTACTGGACGGTAGCTGGCTACCCTCCGGAAACACAACAGTTTGATACGGAAGCCTCGGCCCATTTAGTTCGATGATTTGCCTATTAACAATGATGAGGTTCCATAGCTAGTTGAATTATCAGAGGGTACCAAACTATGATATTCCCAAAGTTTGCCGAAAAATCACCATCATCAAAGCACCTACATATATCTAGATGTGATGTGTTATACATGAATAAATCAATACATTAATTTGTACACAATATTTCTAGGTATAGTGCCATTAGTCATGGATTTCCGTTGCAATGGCCATCGAATTTCGAGGTGAAATTCGTTCCTTTGCGCCACGTGCCGTCGCCCTCCTGGATGCCCGCGTGACTGGCATCATATCTCTTCATTGGGTATTTTGTTTTTTTTATTGCTATATAGATATTGGGTTTATTGAAATATATACATATTCTAATCACCATTTCTATAGTATATCTATATCTATATGGTTTACATATTTATATACTTATCTCTATATGACAGTTTCTTAAGTTAAGGATATATATATATGGGAATCCTGATGAGTATTTGGGAATATTCTGAAGGAAAATATGGGATTGATATGGGATTTTCTAATTCTAGCTTAGTACAGGAACGCATATTTGCTAATTTTAAGGATATATAAATATATATGTAATATAAATCAGCACTCTTTCAGAAGGATTTTACTTTTCTGTCATTTTGGCGGTTGCTATCATGTATATTTGACATATGGATACATATGGAATGTATATAGGCATGTATATTGAATATCTATGATCAGGGGTATAGGTCTTGGTTGCTTGGTTAGTTGCAACCTCCAAAAAGATGTATGTAGAAGAGTTGTAAATCCTACTGAAAGAGTTGTAAAACAAACCATTTTTTTTTTTGGGGGGGTGCATTACATGTGGCAATTTTACCAGCAAACATGTTTTTATTGACCTTTAACCATATACACATGGGGATAGTAATACGACTGACAAGTAGTGGTTGGTTGTTGTTTGTTGTTGTTGAGTTATCTACTATAGTTGGTGGATCACTAACCCACCTGGCTTAACGTGATGTACAACAGATGGGTCAAAAATAGAAACGAACCAATCCTCAATTTAATCTTTAAGATTGGTGGCCCCAGTATATACATACCAAACTGAATTATTTCGAGATTGTGATTCATAACCCTTAATTCGGAATACAAGTCTTAACCATAAAACTGTTTCCTGGGGCCCCATTGGGGTTAATGAAATTGGATGCCCTCTGGTCACTTAACATGGCTATTGAACATGGCCATAGATCATAGTTGATTTCCATTCAAACTGGCGATTTTCCGTAGCTACCAGAAGGTGCACCCCTAGCTAGTTGGGATAATTTAATATAATTTATACTGGCAGTCAGCATCCGCAGGATCTAAGAATTGGAGATTGTTTTCAGCTGTGATTCCAACAGCTTCCTTCGTTGCTCGCTTTGTTGGGCTTCATCGGCTTCATCCAACAGCCAGACCTCCAACAGCATGACTTTCCAAGAATTGGCGAAAAAAAGAGGCTGATCAGGTTGAAAAGAAAGGCAAAGCATCATCAAAATCATAGTTTGAGTAGTCATTTCTTTTCCAATTTTCCGACCAGAAAAGCAGTCTTCAGCATTTCGAAATGCTGCAGAAAAGCAGAAAAATCTGCATCCTGGGCCAAGGTTGAGTGTGCTGGAACTCAGCGGAAGTCCTCTGATCCTTGGCGAGCTGCGGTTCTGTGTTCTCCGGGCAGCTCTGACGAGGCGGTTGCACAGAACGAAGGGAGGCAATGACTCAGTGAAGTGAGTCAGTTGGTTCCATGATCAGTTGTGTTCAACTTTATTTCTCTTTATTTACTGTATGTGGTTAAAACAATGTCATGTTTACCATCCCCCAGTCATCACCATTGTTTGCTTGGTGGTATTTCAACCATTCCCAGTCATGGGTGGTGCCAATGGCATTGTCTTAACCACATTACCATTAATGGAGCGACATGCATCCCATAGTCCCATTGTGACTGGGATTAGCCACGTATTCCCTCGCTGGGATGATAGGAATTGGATTGGTCGCGATTGGATTATCTGCCATTTATTAGTTATAACTGCTTCTTTCTATGGGATTATACATACATTCTATAAATGGAACATCACCAGCTTATTTCTATACCCTTTGGTAAATTAACATAGCTATGGAAAATCATTATCTTTAATAGGTAAATCAACTATGCTCTATGGCCATTTTCAATAGCTATGTAACAAATTACCAGAGGGTACAGTAATTCATAATGTTAATCATCCCAAAATGGCCGGCCGAACTTTTCAGGTTGGTTCATTACCATCTATTCAGAGACCGACGTTTATGATGATGAACATGACCAACCTGAAAAGTCATCTAGTGAGCGAACATCTATTCTTCGCATTATCAGTTATTTGCTTATCATTATCATCATTTATCATCTATTGTCTAGTCAGGCCACTTCTTTTGTGATGCCATGAATAGACTTTTTGGACTTAGATTCTAGTAGAAATAATAGATGATATACTTTCATCTATACCATCCATTTTATATTATGGTTACTATATATATATATATATAATTCGGGGGTGGCAGTCTTCAGTGCGACCTGGTCAACAACGGTGCCGGATGTTTGCTCAGGAATTGCAGCATCGCAGACTTGCTGGTTCGCGCCTTACGTCTGTGCAGATCCTTGGGGAATCTCAAAGTAGCCAGGTGCGCTGACGAAAATGGAGGCTTTGGATGAAATAGGCCATCGATTTGAGGAAAATCTTAGGGCCAACACCCAAGATTTTCCTCAAAATCTGACAAATCACTGGGGAAACACTGTCCTAGAACATTTGGGCAAAAAAAGAATCCGCGTGAATCTCTGGGGTTAATCAAGGCAGAACTTACCAGCCGGATTGAGGGAGACATCTATTCAATTCTTTAACCACGTGTTTGTTACTCAAAACTTAAAAAGCCAGACTATTCTTGTATGTTCTTGCTATATATATATATATATTTATTTATTATTTATTGTAGTTGAATAAAATTCTATACTTGAATTACCAACCAACATCTACAGAAACACCCATACTTCGACACATTGATCTCAACTCCACGGATTCCTTCGATTGGCTTAAGGGAAAATGTGCCGAAAATCATCGAACATCCCAAAAAACAATCAATAGCCATGCAACAGGAACCGATTGAGGACGGAGATACCTACCATATATTTATGGCCTTTTTTCCAGGCCTAAATTTCAGGGAATATCCCCACAAAATATGGCCAGAAATATGGTACTAACGGACCTCCATTTTAGGATGCTGAAATTCCCATAGAACAAATCCCATGGATCCCATGGTTTCCGGGTCCGATTTTACCAATCCATTGATCCAAACTTTCGGCAGGTGCGGCCTCCACGGGCGACTGCCACGCCTGGGGCGTTTTGCCGTGGCGCGGGCTCTGGCCTCGTTGGACTTGGAGGGGAACCGACTGACGGCGGACGCTGGGCGAAATGGAAGATGGTTCCGAAAATCATCTATAAACATGGAGATTCAATGATTTTAATGGGGATTTCATGGGATTCAGTGCGTTTTTTGATGCGAAAAATCATCAATTGGTGATGTTTCAATTTTTTCTATGGGGATATCATGGTTCTATGATTGTTGTTTCATGGGATATTCATGGGATGTACAGTAAATGGGAAAATCAATGAACATCATCTGTAAGTGGGGATCTAATGAGATTCATATTAGTTACATAAAATAAATATATATATATACTGTCAACCAGCATCCTGGCACCAAGCGCAAGAAGACATGAATGAAACATGCAACCTGTCGCAGCTCAACGTGCTCTTTAAAGAAGGCAAAACGCATATACCATGGGCCCAAAATTGGGGCCACAAATTTGGAAGCTGGGCTATTAATTTTAGTATCGTGGCCCCTTTTTTGGGTCCAGAATCTGGCCCCTGTTTTGGGTCCACAAAACACAAACAGGAGCTATTCAATACGGGCAGCAAGTGTGCTACTGCCGCCGCAAGCTGACAGCAGCACATATCCGTGATACCCCAAGGGTACATGCCCGAGAAGCTTGCTTTACCACCTATTTGAGGCTCCGGTTTTGGGGCCTTGGGCCCACCTAGGTTTTGAGAAAAAGCGCCCCTTAATAAAAAACGCACAAAGACATGAGGTATGAATCGCAAATGGCTTGGACGTGAAACTACTAAGCACATCGCGAAAAACTACTAAAGCACGAGTTGCGAATCACAATGGCTTGGGCGCAAAGCTACTAAAGGGGCTCATGAAAAACTACGCAGGCGTGAGTTGCAAATCACAATGGCTCGGACGCAAAACTACTAAGAATGTCCCTCAAAATTGAAGAAAAGAAGAAGATACTATTTCTTGTATTCTTTGGAGCATTTTCTTAGTAGTTTTGCGGCCGAGCCAATACGAATTGCGAAATTGTCCTGAGTAGCTTTTGAACGCGTTCTTAGCTTTGCGGCCAAACCAATACGAAATGCGACACCGTGCTTAGTTGCTTTTGAGCACATTCTTAGTAGTTTTGCGGCCAAGCCAACACGAATAGCTAATTTAACGCTGCTTCCGCGTGATGTATGTGGATATGCGCACGCAAACATGGCCCCGCTCCCCAGGAATCAACGTTGCCACTCACAAAAGCCAGCCTTGCTGCCTTTCCTGGTGTAGCTGCTTTGCAGAGTGCGGAAGGAAGTCAACTTTGATGTCTGGGGGTGCCGGGGTTTGAGCCCAGGGTCCTGTACACTGCCGCTGGCTGTACACATGCCTAAAGTTCAACCTCGCATGCTTGCTGCACAACAGCACGGGTATCCCTGCACCTTTTGAAACGTTCCTTTGGCTTCCGCTGCGACGTGGGCTCATTTTTGAAGCCGTGGGCCTGCATGCTTTTTGCTTTCCTTCACTGCGTACCCTGCATGCATATACATATATCCCCCAGAAAACATGGTAACAAGCTCGGGATTGACACACATATTGGGACCATACTGTAGAATGGGGGTGTTTAATATTAGGAGAATAGTTACCATTATGAGGAGATTCTATCGGAATATAGTCACGATATCATCAGGATAGATGTTGTTTAGTATGAGAGAGAGAAATTACAACTGGCCAAAACTGCTGTGGCAACTCATCAACCATTGCAAGTTTGTAATCGTTTGATTGTTGAGTTGGGAATAGGGAGATGACTTATATACAACATTAAACTATTTTTTTGGGGGGATTTAAGTTTTCAAACAACCGGCCTAACCAGAAATCATGGTTGTTTGATAATTATTACGCGTACTCCTGTGAATATACATAAATTCATAATATATATATACCTTCAGGAGATCTCTCTGTCTGCAAATATATATATATATATGTATAGGTGTACATTGTACATGTATAAACAACCTAGATGGGCCGTGGCATTAGTCAGTGGATACTCGTGTATAGCTGGATATTTTTCATAGAGTATAATCCAGCTACTAGCAACTAGTTCAATGGCCTAGCTAAGTAGGATCACAGTGGTTAAAAGGAAGGGGTCTCCAATCGAGTGATGAATTCAGCAAATCGGTTATAGTTTATAATCAGACTGACTGCGCGACTTACAGTGTACAGATATGTACAGATGTTGGATTTATATGGGTTACAACATTGTTCAGTGGTTCAATGGTGAGGTTGCCGGTTTGGAATCCCAACAAGCGATGAAGGGAATGATCACTACGTTGAGGATTCAAAACTATACACAATACACAAAGAACTTGTACATGGGTCCAGTTTATTTGCCAATCAATGGATTGTTACAGTACTTGTAGTACCAAAACGGACTTCAGATCCATATGAACCTTACGTGATGACTTACGTTCGAAGTATGAATCCCACCTCATCAGAAACATGCCACAGTTTTGGGGTGAAAATGACCCATATGCGCCCGTTAGGTGACGGCTCTGCCGCTGATTTGCCAGACGGTGACACTTTTTTGTGGCTGGGGGGTTCTGGGGAGACCGGCAAAGTATGTGCTTGGTAGTTGTGGTCATCCCTTGATAAAGGTTTAACAGACTTATATAATTACGAATGATGACCATATGTATGCATATATTTAGAGATAACATATAATTATTTATATACTATGCTATGCTATACTATCTATGCTATACAATACTGTACTGTACTCTCTCTCTCTCTATATATACTGTATATATATATATATGCCCACGATCCACATTGTAACTGGAGTAATCATCCAAGGGCCCATGAACTATCCTCTCCGATTGTGCGTTTTCCCTCACTCGGCTCGAGAGACCCGTGGTCGAAACATTGGGGTGTATATAGATGACCCATGTGCTAGATCCTTTTTTTGGGGGGGGTGGCGGAATATTTAAAGTGAATAGGAACTAAAGATATCCTCTAGTAATTTCACATATCGATGGAAAATCCACATGTTTAAGTTCGGTAAATCATCGAACTTGACATGGTCCATAACTTCCAGTTCGCAAACAAATTGGTGGAGGACAAATCCTAGGTTTGATGTTGAACATGGGCAAATCGTATTTGTGGATTGGTCGATGCCAATCCCAAAGCTTCGAAGACCGTGAACATCCCAAGGTCGACCAGGTTTTGAACCCATCCCATATGCAATTCTGTGTCTTCATTTAAGGGATCAATTGCAATTGCAAGAAATACTGGACATATAGAATCATAGAAAGACACTATCAAATTTGTTCCATTATATTCATTGTTCCTTGAATTCTGGAATGGAACAAAATCCAATGGCTTATCAAAGCAGCCTTTTCAAATTGGCTTCAATTTTGAGTGCTCAGGCATTGACCAAGTACTGCTGAAAAATGAGTTTGAGTTTGGATCATCAAAAAATGCCGCCAAACACCGTTGATTGGGTCTTGAATAAAGATCATCCATCTATTTCTGTACTCTTATGGCGCATGACACATCCCCTCCACCAGACCATCTCTTTTTTGGATCTGGCCCGAATGGGCTTGGATTCCTGAACCATTTCCCGGAAAAACACAATAGCGTAATAGCCTCCCGTGTCAAAGATGAAAATCGAACAGCCACCATTGAGTTGCATGATTTTGCGCAGTTAAAATATCAGGAACGAAACTCCACGACACCATTTAGTTCAATGATTCTTCCATATTCTTCCCGTTAAAACTATTTAAAACTCATGAACGCTCCACGAATCCTTCGGATTGTTTGACTCAATGTTTGACACCGGGTGGTCGGTTTGACGAATGTTTGACCCCAGTGATTTCGGACCAAGGATTCTGGCGGACAATCAAAACCTGACTTTCAACCCAGGTGTTGCCTGGCGGTACTGGGATGATTAAATGATTACGGATCCAAAAACGGAGAAAAATGACTAGTTAATGAATGTTAATATGATGTTAATGGACTAGGATAAAGAAAGTCTAAGTGGGAATGGGGTACCGTTTGTTTTCGACCTCAAGGTGGATGGCTTCATACATTTTCATAGAAATAATGACCAATGTCCGAGAGCATCAGTCAACCATGGTCAACCATGGCTTGAAATCAACATGTTTGAACCATGTGTTTTGCGACCCAGCATTCCAGCAGGCTTTCCAGTTGCTGAAACAAAGCCAAGTGCCCCGGAAACATGATGGCCTGACATTTCTCCACTCCACTTGGTTTATCATAAATTTCCTGGTTGGTGGTTTCACACATTTTTCCCAGCGGTTAATCCGTACCATTGAATCCACTGGGAATGTGTACCATGTGGTAAACCCAATAATAAACCATCCCCCAAATTACCATAAATTGGTTGTATAATCCATCGCCAAATGGTAGGTTTATGGCATTGGGTTTACCACATTCTGCATTTCTTTATGGCCCAATTATCATAGATATGATTAGATATCTTCATATATTCCAGGCATTTGATTAATGGTTGAGTTGAATATGCGAAGAGTATATATATATATATATATGGGAGTGTGTGTATGTATATTAAATTAAATGGGTACCTCCAAATCATCCAAATTGGACCGTGCTATGTATTCAAACCCATGGATTCCCCACTTTTAAGAAATCACCTCGGAAAAAAAAAAACGCGAAAGCCAAGGTTCTGAAGAATGCACTTGCCAATGGTGTTTTCTTAGACTTACAAAATGTGACCTTTGCCAAGCCAGCCGCTGCTTGGCCTCGTGGGATCCGAATGATGGAGGGGGTTGGTAAAAACAGCCTTTTGGTGAGATAAACCTTTTTGGGATAAGTTGTACAATGATTACAATAAGTTCATCTTGTTTGGTGATACTTTTTTTGGGATTATATTCACACGCGCCTGAAAAAGTATCTGTTGGAGATTATGGTATATGTGATTGTTTGTCTTCCAATATGTTGGGTGAGACAATAATTAGGATATTTACCAACCCCTGTTGGAAGGGGTCAACATGTTTTTTTTTCCTGGTTGGCGGTCTCAAAGATGCTTCACATATGCTTCACAGATGCTTCAAAGATCTTTCAAGATGTTTAATAACATATACAGTTGGTGTTCTATCTCCTGTGTGGCACAAGTTTCAACGACATCTTTTGAACTTGGTCAGTCTGCCACTTTGTTCAATCCGTTTAAACCAAAAAAAACTGCAAGATTTGAGCGGACAATTGTGCGATGATGGGACACAAAAGCAGAGAAACTTTACTGGGGTGAAGAACAACATAGTCAAACAAAAAGACATGCGTCTCTCGGCTTGTTTTTATTGTTTGCTTTTCGATATGTTATACTCATTACAAACCAGACATCCTAATTCCAGGAAACATCCAAGAAACTTAAGGTAACGGTTAACATATAGCTGCATAAGAACAATTTGATGTCCAAAAGTCATGACAACATGCTCGTTATTTTCCGACCCAAAAAGCAACTCCCAAGTCTAAACTAACCTTGAGTTGGTTGCAAATCTTCATTGTTGATGGCCCAATCCCCTAATTTTTACCGATGACCCCAGTTATTGCCACAGAAAGCACATCTAACGATAGATGTATACCCTATAAATTCCTATCGTTAGCCTAGTTTTTAAGCAACAGCAACCTCTCGTTTTGGGGCGCCCACTGCAGCCCGAAAGTCATGTCTTTCTGCGAGGAAGTGACAGATTTGCTGGACACGACCCTCGAGATCGGTCACTTGATGGTGAAGTAGCTGACCTCACCCGGGGCTACTATGGAATACTTTGAAAATTCGGGGAACACCCAACAAAAATCCACTGCTTTATGATGGTTTATGATCATTTTCCCTATACCAAAAATATGTTTGTTGGATTGTCCGATAACTCATCTTGCTTTATATTATTTTTTCTTGTTTTTTCCACATTTCTGGGGGAAATTGACGGATGTGACAATCCCCCCAAACATCTCCAAACATATGCGTATTTACAGTACTTTACAGTACCATCATTTTTCGCATTTTTTTTCCTATGGGTTCTTGTGGGGGTATGTTGAGGGTGGAGGTCCTTATTTCGGAAGGGACACACCATCGGAAATCATGGAAATCGTCTTTGGTTGGGTATTGATGTCCGGATATGTCCGGTAGATGTGGATTTTGAAGACCACACCACCTTTTGCAAATTTTGCAAGTATCTGTTGGAGATGATTTGCTGCATATGCATCCCACATCCCCATATGATTCTTCACCTAGCTCCAAGGTAAATACCGGACCTTGGTCAATGAGGAGCTTGGCTTCGCATGTTGCTTGGAGGGATGGACAGAACACTCGCATGATGTGCTTCCTTTTGCTGTCCATCCCGGCAAGAGACCCCAAAGAGTGTGGGGTGGGTGGGAGGATAATGTATGATAATGTATGATAATGTATGATAATGCTGCTGATGATGATGATGATCATCATCATGAAAGTGCGCTTCAACACTTGAGTTGAGCAGTGCGGAGGGTCCCGGCTTTCCCTCTCCCTTTTCAAAAGGGGCTCGTTTTTGTTGGACCGCTAAGTTGCTGCTATTGGTCCGAGGATTGGAACAAATAGGGACCTTGATGATGGTTGATGTAGAATGATGTAGACATGTCTTGATTCGGTTTATATAAATGTACCCAATTTCCATTGTGCTGGGAAAGCAGTTTTCATGGATGTTCTTTTGTTGTAAGTCTTTCCGTTAGGCACTTGGAGGGAGCCATGGAAGTCATCCCAAGAGGGCTTGAATTAAACTTTGGGAATTATTTGCCCAGACAATCCCATGTACAAACATACAATAATATATATATATATATATTTATGTATGTATATGTATATGTATATAACGTCACCCCCAATAGAAAAGTGTTTCCAGGATGGTACAAATGATATTTAGATTATATTTCCAGGTTTTCAACTCTTCTATCTATTTGGTGGTTGCTACAATTGGATATGGGTTGATTATGAATGGTTGTATTGGGTTGTACAATACCGTCCCAGAGTCGGTGCCAAAATCTGTAGGAAACCCCTTTGTTGGTAACTTCACCGTGGGTTCCTGTAGACTTCCGCTAAAAACCAGGGCCGAGGCTGGAAAATCACCAAGAATTCGATGTTCTTCCCAGCTATCAACATCCATTTAGAAGTGATTTTCCCATATTGTCCCATCGTGTTCCTGTATGTTTCCCATCATTTTCCCGTCATCTTCCTAGCTATCAACACATTTCAAGTGGATTTTCCCATAGTTTTGCCTATATTTTCCCATTGAAAACCCTCCATGTCTCGGCCTTTGGGACTTCGCAATCGCCTGCATCCCTCAGTTTCAGGTTTTGACATTGCCAGCGGCGTCTCGCTGCGCGTGTCGCCCGAGAAATTTGCGCCGGAGCGCTTATGCAGCTGCATGCCTGGCTGGTATCTCGGCGATGCGGAAAACATAGGGAAACCGGGGACAACCATTGAAGCATGGCGATCTAGTCGGAAAAAGATAGGAAAACATAGGGAATAACCATAGGAAAACCAAACCAATGTTTCTATGGTTATAAAAGACCAAACGACATCCAATCATGAAAAGAAACATAGGGAAAACCATAATTAGGAAATTTAGCAAAGGAAAACCACAGATCCACAAGGAAAACCATAGAAAAACCATTGGGAAAACCAGAGGGATATGCCAAAGATCCATTGGATAGAACAAAGTCCGATTTTTCTGGCATTTTAAAGCATTTTTCTTATATACATATGTATATATATTCCAACAGATTCTGGCAAAGTTTCCTGTTGAGAGCTTTGAAGCGCTGAAAAAAGATGCGGTCACTCCCTCAGGATTGGTTCTGGGACCAGCTGTCGCAAGTGTCCCAGGTGAGGGAACGGGCCGGAAGATGATACCTTGATGGGATTATACAACAGTTTTTTCAGAATGAGAAGGGAATCATTAGAACATTAATCATATTAGGATATGGCCCATCATTAGAACATTAATCATATTAGGATATGGCCCATCATTAGACCATTAATCATATTAGGATATGGCCCATCATTAGAACATTAATCATATTAGGATATGGCCCATCACTAGAACATTAATCATATTAGGATATGGCCCACCATTAGAACATTAATCATATTAGGATATGGCCCATCACTAGAACATTAATCATATTAGGATATGGCCCATCATTAGAACATTAATAATATTAGGATATGGCCCATCATTAGAAAATTAATCATATTAGGATATGGCCCATCATTAGACCATTAATCATATTAGGATATGGCCCATCATTAGAACATTAATCATATTAGGATATGTCCCATCATTAGAACATTAATCATATTAGGATATGGCCCATCATTAGAACATTAATCATATTAGGATATGGCCCACCATTAGAACATTAATCATATTAGGATATGGCCCATCATTAGAACATTAATCATATTAGGATATGGCCCATCATTAGAACATTAATCATATTAGGATATGGCCCATCATTAGAACATTAATCATATTAGGATATGGCCCACCATTAGAACATGAAAAAATGATTTCATCATTTGAATATTTTTTTAAAATAATTATGGTCAGAACCCTCTGGTAATGACTAGCATAGCTATTGAACATTAGGGCCATAGAAATAGTTGATGTTGCTATCAACATGGCGATTGGATATCCAAATAATTGGCAGGTGATATCTATGTTATTAGCATATCATAACCAAACTTGGTTTTGGTCACCTTATTGTCCCACTGTTGGTAATGGCGATACATCAATTATACCCTCCAGTACTCTTGTTATAACTACTGATCATGGGCCATTTATAGTTGATGTTGCTATTGAAATGGTGATTTTCCATAGCTATGTTAGTTTACCAGAGGGTATACCATGTGGCGATTTGACATACCTGTGGACAATGACCCATTCATACCCATTTATATCGATGATTCGCCTATACAAATGGTGATTTTCGATAGCCGTGCTCAAATTATCAAAGGGTATTCATATGATATATTTGGTGGCTCACCCGAGTGAGCAAGTGGATACCCCAGTTGTAATAAGTAGGGGGCCCGTAGGGTCTGTCCAACTGGGGTTATACTTCACTAAGTGGGATGAGCCACCAAGTAGGGGTCCCAAAAAGAGATAGACATGTCTTTCCTGATAGATGATGCAAACCGGGCTCCATGTTCCAGGTTTCCATGTTTTTTATTTATTTGGAGGTTGCAAAAGTAGCAGCTATACATAGGGTAAAAAATATCGACCTCACTGCGACTGCGATGAGAATCCTCAGCTATCGTAGGGGTGGATAATTCTAATTTTCCACAGAGGCTGTGAAGTGTGCTTTTAAATGAGCATATATCATGGGGTCAACGGTTGGATGGCTTTATTTTTATCATATAAATCCCTATATAATGGGAACTCAGGATGATCCTGGGATAAAGTGATTTAAAAGTGGGTTATTAACGTCTCTTATAGTTGGGATATGTTGGGATTTCACCCCGTTATTGTGATTTCCATGGGGGGTAACTTATCATATATAATGGTAGTAATATGGTTATTACGTCTAATGATGATAATATGGTTATAATATGTTATATCATTAAATAATAAGTTACCATAATAATGTGTATCATTCAATAATTCAGTTACCAGTTACCAGTGATTTTTCACTGAAATAATGGTTATAATATGTTAGAATGGTTTATTACGGAATACCCAGTTATTGTGATTTCCAGTTATTGTCATATTTCTCAGGTTTTGGTTATCGGAGGGTAATAGTATAGTATATTCATATATTATATATATATATATCATCCCAGTATGTGGATTATCATCCAACTAAATATGATACCAATATCTGGATATATGTATATATATATATGTGTATTTATCCCAATCATAATGTTATATCCAACAAGAGCCACCGCTAAACTTATTTTTTCTCCCTTCAAGGGTGGTGGCCCATAGTTGTTCGCTAAATTGGTTTATACATTTCCAATAACGTTTGAAGTTTGGGGTTCTGGTAGATATATCTACAGTTACTAGAATCATCATAAAGCCAACATTCACATCACATTTGGGGATCTCCACCAAGCGTTTTTCTCCAGGAACTCCTTCAAGGAGGACTATGGCCTTGGCGCATGCCTTCCATGTCCCTTGAACAGCAGCTCACCTGCCGCGGCGCGCTCGCACGACAGCTGCCAGTGCGATGTGGGGGTGCTCTTCGAGCAGAATGGCACGTGGAAACCGGGTGAAACCCTGCTGTGGTGCTCCAAAAATGGGGAAACTAACTATGTAAAATGGTGATTTAACCATATTTACTTGAGAGTAACTAATGAACAATGGATTGAGGTGCTCTAAAAATGGAGAAACCATTGAAGTGTCACCAATTGTTCCTGGGGATCTTGAAAAAAATAATAGCCTTCATGGGATATGACGGATATGATGTACCAATCTGATACATTTTAAATTTGGGATCGTCAATGAAATGTGGTAGGCTGTGATATGCTTTGATCATCTTGCTGTCGGACATGTCTTTGTTGCTTCCGATCTCACTTATTAAAAAAAAACAAGAACAATGCGGACAAGTAAAATCCTACAAAGATTATCAAAGATCGTGGTAAATGGACCTGTTCTATTTCTTTTTTTGGGTTACCATAGATAGGTCGTACACCCATGACATACCCATGTGAACTTAGGCATTTTTAGCCATTTGTTTGCTCACAGCAAGGCCCAACGCATGGACTGAAAATAGGTTTCCAAAGTCATGGGGGTCCCCTAATAGCTGGTTGGTTTATAATAGAAAATCCTATTGAAATGGATGATCTAGGAGTACCCCCATATATATATTTATATATCTACACATATATATATATTTATTTACATATATATATATACATACATACATATATACATATATACATATATATGTACATATACACATATATATACATATATAGATACACATATATATATATACATATATATATATACACGTACATATATATATATGTACACATATATATATATGCAGCTATTGTATAGTTTTCTCTAGATGGCTGTCCATTTTTGGACATACAGAGATAATTATGTATAATTATACATCCCATAATACCCGATTCTATTTCTATATTATACATCGCCATAAAGGTGAATTTCTGATGGAGAAATCAGCGATCCTGGCCTCAGGAGATGTGGATGCCCCAAAGACTACGCACGCTTGGGCAAGAGCTGTGTGAAATGTGACGAGCCACCCGGTGAGGTCATGGCGAGAAAGCCCCAACAAATGGCACCAGGCAGTAATTTTTTGTCCATTGAAAATATATCCATAGATGTGGAAAATCAACCATTTGTAGAGGATTTCCTGGGGACACCATCTATATAAACGTTTACCCCGGGGCAACATTCTTGTGATATTACTTTGCATCATTCTTGTGATATTTGGCACATGCTTTGGTTTTGTGGGTTTGCCTGATATGTGATGGAGATCATTGCAGGAAGTCATCCTAAATCACTAAATCAGAGGTGACTTTCATATTGTAAATATATGTCCGAAAAAAAAACGTCATTGATTTCTGTTGAAAACCCCAAGCAACTTCGAGAGAATCCAATGACTTCCATCATTTGTGGAGGGCTCCCTGTGCTTGGTGGTTGATCTGGATCCAGGTTGCACCTGGACTGTACTTATGCTGGCTCTGAAGCTTTCTCCGCCTCAGCCCTGCCAGGACAGACCGGACAGGGCGGACAGCCGCGGACAGCGGCTCTACCATCAAAAAATCAGAAGTTTCATCGTAAAGAATTGGTTTTAACCAGCAAACATTGGAGGTTATCTATCGGTGGTATAAAACCCCAAATCCTTACAACATAAAGGGTAAGTTTGACCAAAAACCTTGCTTGATTGGTCATTTAATGGGGATTTAACCAGACCAGCAAGCATGTGGATGCAAGTGATCAAATGATGGTTGGCTAATTGGGCTTAAATGTTGTTTTTTTTCCTGACCAATCAAACTAGTACCTGTAGTCAAACATAGTCAAACTATAAGTTTATGGCTTCAAGTTGAAGTAATGTGAGGCATGGCAATTCCCAAAAATATAGACCAGTATAATTTTTCCTACTAAGGTATATAGTGGTAAACTAAGCCTTTTCAATCTTTTTTTTTGGCTGCTGGTCGCTATAAGCCAAAGCAACCGAACAAGTTCGTTATTTCAACTTGAAGATTAAGCAGTTCGAAAACCGAGTTTTTTTGACCACCAAGACTGGGTTGTAATGGGAATAGTGGGAACATAGTGAATGGAACTGCTTTGTGGTTTCACATTGGCTGAGAAAAGCCTTCCTATTTAGGATAGGGATCCCACCTGACTTTCAAACGGGTTGTCTCCTGACATTGGCCACCCTACTCATCGTGCATTCACTCATCTAGTTGAGTATGTTAAGTGTGTGCTTACCACTCATGTTTATTCTGGGTCGGGCATCGTTCTCCAGTTAGCTGGAACGCGTACGTGGTTTACATACATACAAACATACATGCATGCATGCATGCCTACCTACCTACCCACCTACCTATAGGGACCCTACCTACCTACCTACCTACCTGAATGCATGCATGCATGCATGCATGCATACATACATATACATACATATTCATACACACACACATACACACATGCAGACATACAGACATACGTGCGTACATACATACATACATACATAAATACAATACAATACAAGACAATACAATACAAATACAGTACAAATACAATACAATACAATACAAATACAATACAATGAATGCAATACAATACATTGCAATACAATACAATACATACACACATACACACATACCAACATACACACACATACACACACATGCACACACATACACACATAAACACACATACACACACATACAAACATACATGCATGCATGCATACATACATATACAAACACATACATATACACATACATATACATATACATATACATATACACAAGCACATACATATACATATACACATACCATATACACATACCATATACACATACCATATACACATACATATACACACACATACATACATATACACATACATATACATACATATACACATACATATACATACATATACATACATATACACATACATATTCATACATATATATACATATA